CCCCCCCCCCCCCCCCCCCCGCCCCAGGCAGCTGGACCCAGCCTGGCATCCTCTCAAAGGCCAGCCAGGCTAGCAAGGCAGGCTTCCTCTCTAGCTCCTTCGGATCAAAGCCCAGTGTGGCCTGCAGGCCCTGCGCTGCCCCCAGCCCTGCTTGGGACCAGCCCTTCTGCCTAGACACTGAGAGCAGGGTTGCGCACCCATGTGGTACCAATTTGATCCGCATTTATGACCACCGATCTACTTTAAATATGTTATAAGATGCCAAGTGTGTTTAAAACATTACAACCTTGGCTCTCTTTCAAGGGGATTGATGGGTATGGTCAGACCGTATGTGGATCACAAAACCTGGTGAGAGTTTATCTGTGAGCGTGTCGGAGCTGGTCCGGCTGACTCGGCAGCAGGGGGTGCATCGACACGCGGGCAGTCTTGGGGGTAGGACCGTGCCTGAAGCACACAGCCCCTTCCTGCTGGGGGCAGGATGTGCCAGAGCAGCTTCTAAGGGTGGTTATTCCTCCTGGAGGCTGTGGGGCCCCCAGGGGCAAAGGTCAGACAGGCCCTAAGGTCAGATGTCTAGGGCACTGGGGTGAGGGCGGGAGGGGCAGAAGCTCACCCACCCCGCCCAGGTTGACCCCCAGCCCAGGTTGACCCCCCACCATATGGCCATGCTGGTCCTTCTCGCCCCTCCTCAGTTCTGCAAAAGGGCACGGTCATTCCGCTCTGCCAGTCGGAGCGGGGGGCCACGTGGGGGGCCACATGTCTGCAGAATGACAGCTAACATTATCACAGCTGCCTCACTGGCCTTTTCAGCGGGCCGGCTGTGGGCGTGCCACTGTGCCCGTATCATATTACTGAAGCCTTAGAGCAACCCTCAGAGGAAGGCTTTATTCTTAGCCCTAATTTACAGATGAGCAAACTGAGGCCCACAGAGGTGGGTCCCGGAAGGTCCACAGCCAGGAAGTAGTAAGAACAGTTCTTTCTTATCCCAAATCCTTGCCCTGAATGACTGTACTACCTGGGCCTTATGAGCCGGGAGAGGGGGCAGATGCCGTGCTTTCCCATTTCCCATAGGCCCTCCTCCCCTAGAAGGAAAGAAGGTGGGAACTGGGCTGATCTCCTTCCTGAGGGAAAAGGCTGGGGCTGGATTCGGGCCTTTCTCTGAGCTTCCTAGGTTCTCTGCGAGCCAACCTTGGGGTTGATGCGTTTCAGTCAAAGAGCCCAGGAAGTGGCGTGTTTGTCCATGGGCACTGATCCCCCCAAATGATTCCCCCAAGGACTTAGCATGGCCCCGGGACTTCCACTAAAGGCAGGAAAAGGCAACTTGTGCACTCTTCCTAAGGCCCCCTGTACCCCTCTGGCTCTCGGAGGGCCTGAGGAACCCCAGGCCTCCCGCAGCATTCATGCACAGTGGAGCGCTCCATGCGGATGGATATGGTAGATGCAGGAGCCTTCTGGGGTGGGGACAGCACTCTTTCAAAGCCATGAAATCCTACCGGGCACATCCAGACCATTTAAAATAAAGCAGAGCAGGGATCTGAGACATGGGCCTCAGATCTGAGGCCTAGTGGGGGCTGAGAGTCTCACCCCGCCAGCCTCCAGCCCCCAGCTTGTGCTCTCTGGGCCCTGTTTCTCCCACACTCCAAAGCCCGCAGATTAATTAGAGCTGACTTTTCTTTTTGGAGCTAACTACAAAATCAACCGATCTCAAATCGAGATTACAAGCCAGCCACCCGCCCTTCCCAAGCCCCGGCCTTCGATGGGGCGCCTGACCCCGGTAATTCCCCAGATTACTTCCTGCCGGTCCTAATTACCAGAGGAGCTGACATCTCCCCGGGTTCCAGTCCTCTCCTGTCTGGCGCTGGCTAGGGCAGCGAAGAAGGAAATGAGCTGCCTTTTCCGGGAAGGGAGGCCTAGGAGCCCTCTGCCCTTAGGGCAGAAAGCGACATTAGCCTGCCTCACCCGGCTTTCCCAGCCCAGGAAAGGGACCTGGCCCAGGCCCGAGGCCTGAGCCACCTGCTGGCCTCTGCCCCCACCCCCCACCCCAGCCCTGCACAGCTCTCAGACAGGCCTTCCTCCTCCCTGCAGAGAACAAAGAGTCTGTGTGTGGTGCTGCTTCACCCGGGGCCCTCCCCACGGCGCTGGGCTGCATGGGAGCTTCATCCCAGGGAGATCCATTCATCTCCCATACTCCTCTGGCCTGACCTCTGCTTGGTGGGGGAGCTGACCTTGAAGCCCCCCACCTCCCTCCAGACTGTGTCTTCTTGCCAAATCCCTGCCCTGCTTATCCAACAAACAGTAAATCACCAATTAAGAGGCCACTCCCACAGGACAGGAGCATGGCCATTTTGTGCTCCAAGGAGCTGGCTTTCATCCTGTCTCGGTAATCGAGGGGTCCCTCCACCTGGAAGCCGGGACCAGAATAGAAAACCTACTGATGCTGCAAGGCGCTCTGTGCCAGGCCCGGCTGGAGAGTTAGTGGCATCGTAAAAGGCAGGGCTGGGACCGGCCTTCAAGGTCATTCGAGGCAGCCCCCTCTCTACCCACCTGTGCTCACCCAGAGCTTTCTTAGCCACAGTGACTGGAATCTACCCCTTCCTGGCCAGCAATCAGGCGTTCTTGGGTTAACCAAGAGGTTAAAGAGCCAGGCTCCTCGGTGGTGGGATGTCCTGGCCTGGGGGTCTCTGGCCTGGTTCCCCGACAGCCTCTGCCATCCAGGCTCTGTGCCCCTGGGCAATGCACAGAGTGCCCACCTCCCCAGCTACCGAGTGGCCCAGGTGGGGTTGCTAGGAGCCCACTGGGGGAGCTCCTGGTGTCCTACTGGGAGGACAAGGGAAGGCAAAGATAGAGGGGGTAAACTGGGGACCTTGGACTTGGACGGACTATGAGAACTCCCTCTGTACTTAAGATGAAGGCACTTGAGTTAGTGAATCAGCACAATTCCAAACCTAAACCTTTTAAACAGGAACACTTTTAAGAAGAGAAATGGGCAGAAGGACCCTCATAAAGACACACTGAGGGGAAAAATTAGGTAAACAGAAGTCACGGTCCCCCTTTTAGCAATAGCTGCAAGAAACCCCCTTCTCAGTCCCTGCAGACAGGTGCCCTTGTCCACAGCCACCCCGACGTCCTTGACAATGACTCCGCCCTGTCTCACCTCACAGATCCAAGAATCAGTGCTTCCTGGTGTCAGACTGGGCCGGTCCCCAGGGCAGAGGTCAGGCTGGGGTAGGCCCCGCCTGATGAGAGTGGAATGAGCCTGCAGGGTGGGGTCAGCCGGGGGCACCCCTGCTTCCTGCCCGACAGAGGGATAGGAGTGAGGGAGGCCTGAAATGGGATCAAGAGAGCCTGGGTCATCTGTAGAATTAAGAGACTTGACCCAGAGGGGAGGGAAGGGGCGAAGGTCAGCCACGCTAACGAGGAGGGCTGCCTCCTTAGGAGGCTCCAAGGGGCCCGGAATTCCCTGGAGACGGTGGTTTTGTCTTTACATACAAGCCGGCACGGGCTGAGGACAACCCCAATTAGCGGGAAACCCTCACTCCCCGGGGTTCGCTCTGCACTGCTCCTGCTGAGATTGGAGACAGAAGCCCAGAGATGGGGCTCGAGCAGACCCCCACCCCACCCCCCTTGCTGAAGCTTCTGCAGCTGTCCCTCCAGGTAGGAGGGAGGGAAAGCAGAGACCCCCTGAGACCCGTCCTAGACCAGCATTTTCCCCACAGCTAAACTCCCACCTCCACAGCCTTGCTTTGCAGCTGCCGACAGACCCAGTGTCCCCTCCCCAGCTCCGACTTCTCTCCTGGCTAAAGGCCTCAGGTAGGCAGGGCTGGCGGTGGCTGGAGAAAGGGCCAGAGCAGTTGCAGGCCAGCGGATTCTAGTCTGACTCACTTTGCAGAGGAGGAGCCTGGACCCAGAGAGGGAAAGAGGCTTACCTAGGGTCACACAGCCTTTCCTGACTCCCAGCCAGTTGCCCCAGATGGAGACGAGAAGAGGCAGCCAGGGCCATTGAGGGGAGGCGAGGGAAAGACAGGAGAAGTGGAAGGGCCAAACTGATTTCCCACTGGACCCCCCACCACTGGGGACTCTGTCTTCGGGGTGTCTTCGGGGCTAGGTCAACCTGGTTGGACCAGTTGGAATGTTAGCAGGAGATTCTGGGTCCACTGAAGGAGACAGTGGCAGGGGCCCTCGGCTGCGATTCCTCTGAGGAGGGGCCTCTGACACCCTCGTGGCCACAGTCACCAGACTTCTGACAAGGTCCTGTGGCGCCCTCTGCTGGCCACAGAGCAGACCGGTGCTGGCGAGCAGGGCCCTGCCCAGCTCCGTCCTCCCGCCCAGCGTGGGGTTAAAGACCCAGCCCGCCAGCCCTAGGAGCTGCCCTCCTGCGCTGACCCCTGCCCCCTTCCGAGGCAGGGACCTGAGGGCCCTCCAGCTGAGAGGGGCTTTAGAAGCAGCCCATCGATGCTTGGGGTTGGCTTAGAGAAATGGGTACCTGGACTTCGGCAAAGACCTGTGTTCAAATCCCTACTCTGCATGACCTTGGCGATCATACCTGACTTCTCAGAGCCCATTTGTTAACCTGTGAACTGGGAATAAAATCCAATGCCACATCGGAGAGGAGTCTTGGAGATTGAATAGAGGAAAGATGGAAAGCCTTTAACCTTGTGCCAGGCCCATGGAAGACACAGTAAATGGCCTGTAAGAGGGATTTCCCAGAATTTGGGGCCTGGGGCAATGACTCATTTGCTGTGTTCACCTCCTGAGTACGGATCCACTAACCTTGCCTGTGGCTCAGGGGTCAGGGGTCAGGGCTCAGGTGTCAGGGTGAGGAAGGGCTCCTGTGTTTGGAGCTAAAGATTCTGGGCCTTTTGCAGAATTCGGAGACATGGTCCAAGGAGGATGGAGGTGAACCATCCCAGGCAGACATTAATTCGTGCCTGCTGATTACAAATGCTGAGTGGTCCCCGCTGCACCCGGGAACCAGCACTGGGTATGGGCATAGCAAAGGGCTTCACAGAGGAGATGGTATTTGACCAAGGCCCCTAAAAATGAACAGGGTGTCGAGGGAACATCAGAGAGGCATAGAATCTGGGGCACCTGGGTGGCTCAGTTGGTTAAGCATCTGACTCTTGATTTCAGCTCAGGTCACGCTCTTAGGGTCATGAGATCGAGTCCCACATCAGGCTCCACGCCCAGAGCTGGGTGTGGAGCCTGGTTGAGATTCTCCCTCTCCTTCTCCCTCTGTCTCTCAAAAAAAGACATGGAATCCTGAAAATGGGTGGTGTTTTCAGGGAAACAGGCAGTGGGTATCGGGATGTCAGGTGATGAGGCTGGGAAGGAAGCCGAGGACGGAATGCCTGGCCCCGTTTCTGCGGTCAATGCCGGGCAGTGTCTACTTTGCAGTAAGGGAGTGTCACTGTCCAGCCTGTGTCCCGGGGAGCTTCCCCGGACGCCAGCGCCGAGGCCCGGTCAGGGAGCAGAGAGGGTGGAAGAAGTTCTAGCTTTGGCCAGCAGAAGGGTGGATAGGACTTCCCGGAACACGGCAGAAGAGAAGGGATGAAGGCAGCGGAAAAGAGGGAGGCCAGGTGGGACCAGTGTCCCCCTCTGCCCGGAAGCCTATGGGAACTGGGGCCTGGCCTGAAGGCCACAGCTCTTGGGACCCGAGTGGGGAGGCTGGGCCGGGACACAGTGTGTCCGGACCCTGTGGTGCCATCCCCAGCCTGCAGCTGCCTTCAGACACAGGGAGCCACAGCCGAGCGCTGACTGTCCCCTGTCGCTGCTGGCATTCCGAGCCCGGGCTGGGGCTTCATTTGGGGCTCAACTCGCCGAGACCGGAGCTGCCCTCCTTCCTCTCCTGAGCACCACCCCCTTCTCTGACACAGTAGGTCAGTCTCGACTCATCTACTCTTGACCTCCATTTGTCACTGGCTGTCATCCCCAACCCCATCTCCTTCCTGTCCTTCTGAGCTCACAGCCCCGCCCCAGTGGTTTGGCGTTTTCACGGGGAGGCAAAAGAGGTTGAGGAGAAAGACGGGCCACTGCTGAGCTCATAGAGCAAACCCCACAGTGTCCCGAAGCTACAGTTCTCCTGGTGCCCATGGATGGGTTCCAGGCAGCACCCTGCCTCCACCCCCACCCCCCAAACCACAGGCTGGCCCTCCACCGTGCAGGACCAAGACCCCCGTGCCCTTGGGAAGGGTTAGACCCAAGGAAGCTGGGAGGAAGGGGAGTCCCAGATGAAGAGGAGAGGCAGGAGCCTGTGTGGCTCAGCCAGCAGGTACCACGAGAGCGAAGCTTCTGGAGTGAGAACGGAGCAGGAAGTGCTAGGTGGCGATGAGAGGGAGGGATGCGTGGGTGAGTGGCCAAGTGCACCGAGCTCTGACCCGGCTGGGCCCCTGGCTGGCGGTAGGTCCTGCACAGGCCCTCCTGCAGCCCCTCGGGACTCGGACTCTGCTGGTGAGCCTCTCTCTCTCGGGGGGCCTTCTGTGAGTTCGTGTAGCTAAGAGGAACGGCCTGCGGTGGCTGCCAGGTCCTCGGAGGTCATCGTGAGCTGGACAGGCGTCCCAAGCTTCCAGACCAGCCAGCAGGAGCATCTCGTGGACATCCCTGCAGGCCGTGCTCCAAGGGCCGAGGCCTCGGGCGAGTCTGGGCCTCTTCTCAGTGTTTCTTTTATTTCTTCCTTCAGGGAGAACGGGGCATGCCAGGGATGCCAGGCAAACATGGAGCAAAGGTACCTTCCCCTCCCCCTGTCTCCGGTAGCACCGCGCCCTCCCCCCACCTGCAGCCCCTGCCTGAGCTCCGGCCCTTTCTCCCAAGTTCTGGGACACCTGGGAGGCCCAGCTCCTTCTCCTTCCCATATCGGCTGTGGAGACCTGAAGACGGGGTACCCATTTCCCCCCTACCCTCTCCCCCTGCGGTGTCAGCCTGCTCTTCCGGGCTGCGCGCTTCTGTTTGGCCCATGAGCCAGCACTCCCCAGCACCCTCCTGACATGGCCAGGGCTCCTCCCGGGCATCTCTGGGCCATAAAAACGCTTCTCAGGTAAGCCCAGCTCTGGCTGCCGTCCCATGTGGGGAGTAGGGACTCCCTAAATATGCCCTCCACTTACAATTGACTAAGTGCTGCATCTGGCAGCCTATTTACCTCAAAGTGGCTGGTCTTGGGCTGATGTGGAAATGGGGTTCACTCCCAGCTGCTCCCCAGTCCATGAAGGCACAGATCCAGAGAGTTCTTTGTGAGAAGAATCCCACCTGCCCACTCAGGGGTGAAATCAGCCATCTCCCGTTCTTCCCTTCCACGCGGTGCTCCTTCTACCCCCTTCCCTTTCCAGTGCCTCCTCCCCCTTTCCTATCCCACATTGCACCCCAGAGACACCCCCATCTGGACACTCCTGGGCTCCCTGCCAGGAGGGCCTGGGAACCGAGCAGGTGGTGGGAAGCCTGGGGGTACTCAACTGGGCTGCTCAGAGCCTCTGCCTTCCTGGGGACCCACGCTCCCTGTGCCAGACTCAACCACCCACCCTTGCTGTGGGTCCGGTCAGCAGGCAGAAGCAAACAGTCTGCCTTCGCATTCCCCCCAAGGGGAGGCTGGGAACTGGCCACTCCCTCCGTGCTCGCCCCAGGTCGCCATGCCTTTTTCTTCTCTCCACCAGGGAGCTCCTGGAATTGCTGTGGTTGGGATGAAGGTCAGTGGCACGTTAGCACTGCGCACATGAGGGGCAGATTGGGAGGGAAGGAGAGAGGAAGACGGAGTTGGGGCTTCAGGGACTCTGTGGGGTGGCCCCTGGGCCAAGGAGGAGGCAGACAGGATTCAGAAACATTTCTCTTAAGGCAACGTGTATGCCATTATGCACAACTTGAACTAGAGACGTTCTAACTAAGCCTTGCATAGTAAGTAGCTAAGATTTGCCAGCCTCAGCTAGAGCAGCACCATGCCAGGGGCCAAGGGGACCCAGTGCTTTCCTTTATACCTCAGAATCCAACAGCTGCGTGCTCGCGAAGCTCCCGAGAGGAGAGCAGGAGTCCTTCCCCTGAATTGCACACTAACCACATTTGGTTGGCAGACAGATGCATGGGGACACCCAGAAGCACAGATGTGGATCTCCCGGCAGGTCCACAGACCGGGGGCACCATGTCCAAAGCAAATGGCCGTTCCTTCCTCTCCCCCCGAGCTCACACTTGCCACATCCCTCACCTAGGGGAAGAATCGGGAAGAGTCCGGGAGGCCTCCTTTGGCCTGGGACCTGAAGTCTAGGCAGAGGGAAGCCCTGGGCTGGCCAGATGCTTCACGCACCCCATGAGGACCTTTGCTCATTTATTCATGCACTAGCTCTCACTCTCTCTCCATCTCTTTACCGGAGTCTTCTTTTTTTTTTCCAAACAGGGTGAGCCAGGGACCCCAGGAGCCAAGGTACTGATACAGAGGGAATGTTATGGGCTACACGGAGCATCAAGCATTGGGCGGGGGGGCAGCTACTGCTATGCTCTCGGCCCCCCTGAGGCTGGCCTGGAGCTGGGGCCCCGACTGAGCAGAGGAGGGTCCACCCAGGAGGGACATGCTGGTCAGGAATTCCCCGCCCTGGATCCTGGCCTGGAGCTCGGTCAGTTTGCCTGCACACCAGCTCCGGCAGGCAGTTAACTCTTGTTCCCTAGGCCTGCAGGGCTCTCTGTCTCTCTTGTCTCGTTCTATAAGGGATGTAACATGAGAAAAGTTTCCACGCCAAATATGTTTGGGAAGTACAGAGTTAAAAATATTTCACAGGGGTTTTTTTGTTTGTTTGTTTGTTTGTTTGTTTACTGCAGGCCTTTAAGATGCTACATGTATATTGGGAAGCTCTAAAACTGTAATTCTGGTGCAGCATTTTCAAACTTTTTGACTAGAGCATCCTTTTCTTAAGAGGAGCATCTTACGGGACTAGTATTCTTGAAGCGCTGGTTTACGATCACTGTCCACGGTACCCCTCACCACCCCCCCCAATCCTCTTATCAGTGACTTTCTCTTCTTACCCCAAAGGGAGACCCAGGAGCAGCAGGGAAGCCAGGGCCCCCAGGTTTGCCGGGAAAGAGGGGGCAGAGGGTAGGATATTGTGTCTCTGAGTGTGTGTCCCCTTCAGACTGGCCTCTGCTGGTCCTCCACTCCCTGCCCCACCCCCATGGCCCGTGTGCTGCCTGCAGTGTGTTCGGGGTGCATGTGTCCCCAGGAAGAGGGGAGTGCCGGGGTGGCCTGGCAAAGCTTCAGAGATCCTGCACTCGGGAGCACACCCGCCCCCCTCGAAAGCATTGGTTTCCAGGAGGAAAGACCAGCAGAAGGAAGGCCTCCCCTCCCCCCATCCCCACTGCCCCCACGGCCGGCCTCCGTAGGGCAGCACCTGCATCCTTCCCCTTTAGATTCGGCCTGTTTCAGGGCATGCCCCAGCTCAGCACAGCCCAGGCTGTTTTGTCATTCACCTTCTACCCCAGGGCAGGTGGCAAGCGGATGACACCTAAAGACTTGGTGTGGCATCCTCCATGGCTCTAGCTGGAAAATTCACTGAGACACCTGGCAAATTTTGACCCCAGGGCCCTCCATTTCTATAATTAGCTACAAGAACCAGCAGCCATCAAGCTGTGGAGGGGGGTCTCGGGTGCTGACCTGGTGGGGTACTCTTGAGGTGCTCTCCCAATACGGGCCACTCTGGGAGGGCCAAGTGCCGTCTTCATGGTGTAGAAGATGGAGCTTCGGGAGGGCTGGAGAGCGGGCCTACCTCGGCAACTTGAGGCCAGGAGGTGTCATTCACAGCCATGGAGCCTCTTTATCTGTGCAGTGAGAGCAGGGCTCTGTGATGCACGACATGGGGGAGAAAATTCTTCATGGAGGAAGAAGATGCTTAGGGCAGAGTATTAGCTTGCAAGGGCTGCCTGAACAAAGGACCACAGGCCATGTGGCTCAACCACAGAAGCTTATCGTCCCACGGTTCTGGAAGCCAGAAGTCTGAGATCAGGTGTCGGCAGGGCTGGTTCCTTCTGCAGGCTGTGAGGGAGAATCTGTCCCCTGCCTCTCTCCTCATTTCAGCGGTTTGCTGGCAGCTTTTGATGTTCCTTGGCTTGTAGAAGCATCACCCCACTCTCTGCCTTCACCTTGACATGGTGTTCTCCCAGTGTGCATGTCCCCCTGTCCAAATGTCCCCTTTATGAAGACACCAATCGTATTGGATTAGGGGCCCACCCTACTCATAACTTCACTAGTTACATCTATAATGACCCTATTTCCCACAAAGGTCACTTTCGGAGCTACAGGGAGTTAGAACTTCAACATAGGAATTTTGGGAGGACGCAAGCCAACCCATCACAGGAAGCAAACTTCTCAAAATAGTCCCCCAAAGGAGAAGTCTAGTGAGATGGTGTTTGTCTTCCTTGGAGACAGGGAGGAGGTCGGCCGAGACTGGGGGCCTCTAAATGCTAGACATTTTAAAAATGAAAAGAGCAGAGCAGTTAAAATGAAGAGCTTTCCCGACTACTGGCCTTCTACACTGCTCGCCTCTCCCCAGGAGACCCAGCAAAAGGAGCTAAATGCTCTTAGCACCTCTCGCTTCATAAATGATGAGGGCCCAGCCCATACGGGAGAAGGAGAACAATGATCCAGGCCCTCACCAGTGTGAAGTGGCCCAGGGAAGGAGTCAGGTGCAGATGGGGATCTGGTGGGAGATGGCCCACAAAGCGGCAGAGAGGCAGCGGAGAGAAAGCCAAGGCCTTATGCTGGTGGGGCTGGTGCCTTCCCAGGCATCCTAGAGAAACCGTTCCTAACCCTGCACTGTCTGTATTTCCTCCTCAGGGCGAAAAGGGGGCTGTAGGCTCCCCTGGGCTATTCGGCCTCATGGGGCAGAAGGTGGGTATTAGCAAGCTCAAAATGGTGGGTTCTGTGTAAAGGCCTTGGGGTTCATCCACATCCACGTTCCCGACCCTGACCATTCAGGGGCCCCAGTATCGGAGGTATCCCTCCCAGACTGGGGGAAAGAAGCTGGAACACAGCTAGATTCGTGCATGGGGTACCACGTGGGAGGCCCTGATTGGCAAAAAGTGCCCATACTCAAAGACCAGTAGCTGTGACCTTGTCAGATGTCTGTGTCGGCTCTGAAAATGTGCTCCCTAGGACATGAGCTCCATGACATTCCATCAAAAAAAAGAAAAGAAGACTTGAGGTCAAATAAGTGTGGGGAGAGCTGTGTGAGTCAGGCCCCTTTGGAACGTCACGGGGCACTTTCACCGGCCGGGGCTCAGAGCACCCTGCGGGGCAGAAGCCTGAGCTTCTTCATTTCCCTCTGCCTTCCCTAACACCCTTTGGCCACCAGACCCTTTTCTTCACCTTTTCAAATATTCCCCACCCCCAGAAGGAGGGTTCCATGGACACACTCTGAGAAACAGAGTCTAGGCCCAAGGCATGAGGGGTCTCATTTTTTGCTCCATACCTGCTCCCCTGCAATAGCTATGTCCCTTCTCTCTGCAAATCCCATGGCCAGTCAGACCAGGCCAGGCTTCTGAGAGCCTCTGTGCCCAGCCTGGACCGAGGGGTGGCCTGCTGCCCCCACTCCTTGGAACTGGGAGGGGAGAAAAGACAGGGGTGGGCCACCTCCCTCCGGAGCTAGGCAGGCCAGTGGTGGTCACTCCCCCACTCTCCCCTATCCTGCTCCCAGGGAGAAAAAGGCGATGCTGGTAACTCCATCGGAGGGGGCAGAGGGGAGCCCGGCCCCCCAGGGCTACCTGGGCCCCCAGGGCCAAAGGTGAGTTTCCCTGGGATCCGTACTCGAGGGAGATGCTGCCTGTGACCTTCATCTTCAGCCCATTCTTGCGGACTCCGTCCTGGGCACCTTGCCTTCTCTCCTGCTCCAGATATGTGGTTTTTCCAGTGGATTCTAGAAAGACAATTTGGACTGAGCTCCTGATTTTAAGTGGTGACTGTTTGACTATCTAAGAGAAACAGTCCGAGGGCAGATGGATGGTCCCAATGATTCAACAGCTACGATGTAACTGAGTCAGGGACGGACAGCTGCAGGGCTTAGGACAGCCAGAAGGGCCCCCTGCCCAGGCTCTGAATAGACATCAGTGATCAGTTGGGCCCCACCTGGTGCTGGCACCCGGGGGCGGGGCGGGGGGCCGGGTAGCAGCAGTGGGGTCAGCTGCCAATGGGACTGCCCTCACTTTCCTTACACTGGGTGGAAACTGCAGTGGTGAGGCTTGGGTTTCCCGAAGCAGACGCCTCCTGCACTTCTCGGTTTACTCCAGCAGCCCCGGGGAAGTGAGGATGGCCTCTTTCTGAGCTCATAAGGCAAGGACGTGATTTCAGATGATATACGCATTCATTTCACCCACCTGCTGCTGTGGGCGGGGCCCTGCCTGGGCTGCGAGGCTGCAGAGAACCTGCCCTCAGCTTGCTCACAACCCTGCAGGAGAAGCAGACCCACAATTCATAGGGGTATCGTGGCGGGGGCCAGAAGGAAGCCCACAGACAGACAAGACGAAGTGGCGGGAAGGGTCTCGGGCGAACCCCCCAAGTGCCCATCTGACCGTGGCGGGAATAGAGCCTCCCCGGCTTGAGCACCAGCTTTGCCAATGGTGGCCCTGCCCGCAGGGCTCCGGGACATCCCCAGAGTCGGAGTCTGACCCCATGGGGCGTGGATCCCTGGCAGGTTTTGGGTTTTGAGTTGGGGTCGGGGAAGCCTGGTCACTACTGTCCCTGCATTCTGGGACACAAGAGGGGAAAGTTAGAAGACTGTTCCCAAGCCCGTGTCCTCCTTCAGGACCAGGCAAAGTGCTGACCAAGGGAAGTATGCGTGGGGGGGGCCTCCTCCCATCTCTCTCTGCGCCTCCCATCCTGGGCCTCTTGGGCCCCCTCCCTCCATGCCCGGAGGCTTCATGGTCCCCTCTGTCTCCCAGGCGGGACTGCTGAGGTGTGCCTTCCCAAGCGCTTTAGGTTCCAAAATGACCTGCCTCCCGGTAGCCGGGGGTGCATGTCGGTCCCCACCTGGGGGCTGCAACAGAGCTGGCTTGTGTGTTAACCAGAACTGAGGAGCGCCTGGCACTGCCGGCTGGATGCCAGGAAGTGGTGCAGAACTCAGAGGAGGAAAGGGGCAGACAGGGAAGGCTGCCAGGAGGAGGTGAGACCCAGACTGGGCCCACGGGTGGGTGGGAGGCAGATGAGCGGAATGAGGTGAGTCAGTAGAAGCCAGTGCAGACAAAGAGATCCAAAGACAACACCCATGTCTCTCCTCTTCCCCAGGGAGAAGCTGGGGTTGATGGCCAGGCCGGCCCCCCAGGACGGCAAGGAGACAAGGTACAGAGGCTCGCAGGTCTGAGATGAGGTCAGCTTGGGAGTTCAAGCCCCAGCTCAGGGAGAGCAAGTGTGGTGGCCGTCCCTGCAGCCGGACCCCCGGGGTACAAAGCTGATGGGGCCGTGACTCCAGGTGGCCATCTCTCCTGCTGGCTGGGGAAAGCCTTCCATGGAGTCAGCAGTCATGCAAACTGGTCCAGGGACAGACACTTGGGCTGGGGCAGGACCCAGAGCCCCTGCTTCTGTTAGCTTCCACGCCCCTGGTGAAGGTGGGGCTCCCACTTCTCCCCAGCCACTTCCTGTGGGAGGGTCAGGTCGGGGCTGCCCTGTCCCTCATGGTGCTCAGGGACAAAAATGCTCTGGGGGGAGGGAGGGTGGGAGCAGGTCGTCAGCAGGTGATAGTGGCTCGACATTCTACGAGCTGATCAGCTGCAGGGTCGTGTGGAATTAAATTATATTAAAGGCTTGTTGTCCCTTTACATATACTTTCTGTCTTGATTTTTAAAATTTGTCTTCGATGTTAACATTGTCCCAGCACCATTGGGACTGAGGTTTGTTTTCATGCATTCCCCATAGCTCTGTCATGTTTCCAACAGCAACAAACCCCAACCCCACCCAGTGGGGAGGTTGAGCGCTCCTACTGCCTTCTGCTGAACTCCCTTTCTCCATCCTGCAGTTTGGGGCTGTCACATGCAGAGAGGCCCCTGAAAGAACCCATGGTCCCTCCATGGCAATTATTGACCCCTCAGGTCACGGACTCTTGCTCTGTGAGCCAAATGGAAATAAAGAGAAGCAAAGGGCCTGGTCCTCCGAAGAGGTGGCTGCCGTAGGGGGTGGGGGAGAGGCGGCCAGGCAGACACAGGTCACAGGTGCAGTCCCTAACAACTAGCCCAGACCAGGAAGAAGGTCTTTCAGCGAGAAGCCAGAGGAGCCCAGAGGCACTGGGAGGCCCAGAGGAGGCGAGGCAGGTGGAGATGCTTCCTGAAGGGAAGGAGCCTGCACTTCCCTGCACAGGAAGGTCGGCAGCCTCTTGGCCTGAGGGAAGATAAGCCTCCCAGCCCCTCCAGGGCTCCTTACAATGGCCCCTCTGGGGACAGCAGGTGCTCTCGGATCCAGCCTTGACCCCCTTTCACTCCAATTTTGTCATGCAACAGGGGGAGCCTGGAGCAGCTGGAGACCAGGGACCAGCCGGCCCCAAGGTACGTGCATCTCCCCCGGAGTCAGAGCACAACATCTCGCTCCCCTGGGGTCACAGAGTGAATGGCTGGACTCTGGGCCTTGAGCGGGAGGGAGAGAGAGAGAGACCTCTTTCTACGGTCATGGTAGCCATGACGGGACTCGGTCTTCTCTAGGTCTGTCTAGACTGGAGTCTGTCGCAAAGAGTCTTCTGTGTTTGTTCTAGAACCTCTAGGCATCCTCTCTCAGAAACCCCTGACTCCCAGGCCTACAGCTCTGGGTCCTCCCGCGTGCAGCCAGGCACAGCCCGCCTTGGCTACGATCCCGTCTGTCAGACAGCAGGCAGCCTTGCACCCCCGTCCCTACTGGCCCCGGCCTGGGGTTGAGGCCGCATTTGTCTTGCAGGGCACCAAGGGGGAACCAGGGAAAGGAGAGATGGTGGACTACAACGGAAACATCAACGAGGCTCTCCAGGTGAGTGGGAGCTGGCCCAGAGACTAGAGATCGGGAGGCACTCAGGGGCCTCCGGGCCCTGCACCACGGCCCTATGAGGGGGCGCTTCAGTGCCCCCATTAGTGTGCTTGAGGGCAGGCTATTGGGCAGAGCTTCCAGGAGAGTGTCCCCTTTGCTCTCTCTCCCTTGGCCTCTGTCTCCAGCCTCCAGGCAAATACACCCCCTTCATTTGGCCGCCAGGTGTCCTGGTTCTTGGTCTGGCCCGGCCGGTGGGCTATCCTGGCTCTGGGGAACTGAGCACCATAATTGGAGCATCCTGGCACCCTGGGGGGTGCTGGTCCATCCAGGGTTCTGGAGCCCCATGTCTTCAATATCCGTGGGGTCATTTTGTGGGGAGTTGGGGGGAAGGGGAGCCCTGTATGCTGTAGGATGCTTCACAGCATCCCTGGTCCCTATCCACTAGATGCCAGGAACACTCCACCCCCGGTTGACAGCCACAATATGTCTCCAAATGTCCCCAGGGGCCAAACGCCGCCCCCGGGTGGAGAACTAATCCTTTAAAGGAAACTTTGTACCTCTGTGGATCCATTTATGTGGTGTACGATCCTGTCTGCAGCATGCCAACAATCGTCCCCCTGGTTTCTTGAGTGGCTCTGTATCTTCCTATTCTGCATTCATTGTTTACGAGGAAATATGTCGGAGCCTTGAAATCTGGGTTCTGGGGAAGAGGGGAGAGCAGGGGAGGGTCCCAGTCAGTGATCAGGGAGAAGCAGAGACGTTGTGTCCTCCCTCCTTGGCAAAGTGAAGGGAAGTGGGCAGTCCGTTTCAGGGCCTGTTTGAGTCTGGTGTAGGACAGCTTCAGAGCAGCCTGGGTGAGATATAGAGCATTCTCTGTCCAGTCTCTGTGAACCCTGGGGAGAGATGGGAGCAGCATGCAGTTGGGAGGCATGGAGCCCACCTTACTGTGTTCCTAAGGGGGGCCCAGCTCCCATGTTTCCATGCCTGGGCCTAGGGGACCCTGCAGATGGCTCTTGACTTGTTCCTCAACTGATTGCATGGCATTGGTTTTTAGGAGATCCGAACGCTGGCCTTGATGGTAAGTATTCCTCCTTCCCTTGGGCACCGGGCTGAGGGCTGGGGGGCCCGGGCGGGGGGTTGGGGGCCAGGGGAGGGCAAGGACTTGAGGTCTGGCCTCCAGAAAGCCGGTGCAGGTCTGCTGGGTTAGGACTGACCCTGAAGTGCCGGGGCAGAGGGTGATCGAGCCTCAGCAGGGGCTCTCCGGAGCCTCCCCTACCCCGGAGGAGGGGGTGGTCCCAACTGTCCTCTGGAGCAGCTCTTCACCCATCCCGCTGCGCACTCTTGTCTCAGCATAGATGCTGGGTCTCTGCAAAGCCGTGTCAAGGAGATGGAGGTACAAAGGAGGATGCTTTTATGTTTCTCCTTGTATTCAACCTTCAGCTCATAAAATCCATAACCCTAAAAAATCAGGAGCTACTCAACCTCCATGTTTTCACCTTTCCTAGAAATCAATTTCATTTTCTGCACTTGGAAAACCAGTGAATTCCAAGCCCGGATTTTGCATGCGTACCTACTACCAGTGACAGGCCTGTGGATTTTTGTAGTGAATATTTATAGTTAAAACAACTACCATGAGGTTTAACTTCCAGGCGGAGAGAAGAAAGGAGATCACAAAGTCCTCAAACTATTGGAATTTCATTTCACTTAATGTTTTATTTTTATTTTTTTTAAGATGTTATTTATTTATTTGAGAGAGAGCGCACACACACACAAACTTGAGTGGGGGGAGGGGCAGAGGGAGAAGCAGACTCCCCGCTGAGCAGGGAGCCTGACGTGGGGCTCAATCCCAGGACCCCAGGATCATGACTTGAGCTGAAGCCAGATGCTTAACCCACGGAGCCATCTAGGCACCCCTCATTTCACTTACTATTTTTAGTGGCCATATGCCACAGAACACTTGGGGATGCACAGACCCAGACTCAAACACCAATCATATCATGCCTCAACCCCAGAGGTTGGAATTAACATCACGTGATTCTAAAATCAATGAGCTTCATTTGGGGACATTAAGATATATTATTTGAAATAGTTATCCAAAACAAAACTTTCATGGAATCTCTTTTTCTTTTAAAGTCAACTTCGAGGTATAATTTACATACAATAAAAGGTACCCACTTTAGCTGTGAGGTTTGATGAGCTTCGACAAATGTATATACCCATGTATCCACCATCCCAGGCACTCCAGAAAGTTCTTTTATGTGCCTCAGGAGTCGATCCCACACCTACCCTCAGCCCCTGGACACCACTGATCTGCTTTCTGTCGTGGTGGATTCAATCTGTCTTTTCTGGAGTATCATCTGAGTGGAATTGTGCAGCCTAGCCATCTGTGTCTGGCTTCTTTAGCTCAGCAAAGAATGTCTGGGTTGCATCCATGACATGGCAGGCCCCTGTGCTTGCTTCATTTTTCACTGCTGAGTAATATTCCATCGGATGGGTATTGCACACCTGCACTTATTGATGGATATTTGCATTGTTTCCTGGAGACATTCTGAAGTCCCTATCGGGGGAGGTGAAATTTATCTTCTTGGAGCCCAGGGGTGCTCGGAGGGAGGACGAGGGAGAGGCTGGTAGGCGTGGCTCCAGGATCCCCCCCAACCCCAACCCCAACACTAACCCAGACACACTCAGGGCTTACCCACTTTACATTGTAGAGTCCCCGTGCTATTTCGTTTACAAAAAAATGTTCCTGCCACTGATGAGATGTTTGAAAATGATTGATCCCCATAAACTAGCCTCCACATACACCCCCCTGGCAACAGGCCACCCCTCCTTGGGTGGAAACTACTTCCACAGGTCTTTCTTTTATTTCCTAGGGGCCCCCTGGTCTTCCCGGACAAATCGGCCCCCCCGGAGCCCCAGGCCAGAAGGTAACACTTGTCCTGACAAGGGAGAGGCAGACCCCACAGAGGCACTGCCTGTGTCCCCGAGTGCGGGAGCCAGTGGGGGGCCCTCCCATCTTCCCTGCAGAGCCGCCACTGCAGCCTGGCCCCTGACTCTTCCCACTGCTCCCAGGCCCCCCAGGCCCTGTCTTGCCCCCATCACAGCCACGCCCACTCCTGCCACCTCAGTTTGCCACTCTTCTCCTGCTGTCTGACTTGGGCTCCCGTAATTCACAGGCTTCTCTCCTCCAGTAGAGCTTGGATCTAGACAAGCCACTGCTCCAGGCAGAACCACAAGGGGACCCTGACCCCCCCACCAGGGAACATGGCACTTGAGCTCCTCCCCGATCTCCCCCCCTCCTTTGCTCCCTGCTTTTGTTCCTCTTTAGACTCTGCCCCACCCCTGTGATTTTCTCAGAAGGCCCTGCATGTTTGCACCTCTGTCCTCTGCTCAGGAGGGCCCCTGCCCTGAAGTTCCTTCCCCTCTTCCCTACCTTTCCAAGTCCTCATATTTCAAGCCCAACTCCAAGGCCACCTCCTCCTTGAAGCCTCCCCTGATCTACCAGGTAGAATTCACTGCCCCTTCCTCTCTGCTCCTCTCATAGCGTCCTTTTGCCTTGGTGATGTGGCTCGTTCTTTACTGGCCTCAAAGACAGACCTCAGATCTCCCTCCCTGACCTAAAGAAAAGATCGGGTTGACGTGAAGATGCAGGGAGCTCCCTGTGGGGCAGGCAGGACAGGAGGGCTGGGCTGGGGAGGGGGACTGGGAGGCGGCACCCCTCCCAGGGGGTACCCAGGGTGTTCAGAGGCAGCGTGCGGGACTGTGGCTAACATGTGGACTGTGGAGCCAGGATCTAGCTGCCTGCTGCACACACCCCAGGCCTCATGTGCACAGCTCTGCCCTGGGGTCCTCACCTTGAAATGGGGGCAGTGCAAGTGCAGAGCTCCGGGGTGACCCTGGCACAGACGCAGTGTGCCGTAAATGACAGTGCCTCTTCTCTGCTCTGACACTGACCTTCCCTTGTTCTGGCCACAGGGGGAGATTGGACTTCCGGGCCCTCCAGGACACGACGGGGAAAAGGTAAGAACAGACACTCCCGGACGAGTGTCCGAAGACGGGACCTTGACCTGGGCTGATGGGGGATGGTGGGGGGTGGGAGCCGAAGGCTCTGGAAGAGGCCCAGATGTGAGCCTTGTGGGGAAGGGGGGGGCACGTGGGGGCCAATCCTGCAGGAGCCTGAGCCCCACATGCTGGCCCCAGAGGAGCCGGGAAGACCCAGTTGGGATGGGCTGGGGCTGGTGCTGAGGTTTCTCCGATTCCAAGGGAGGTGGACAGGCTCTTGCCTGGGCCAGTCAAGCACAGAAGAGCCATGTCCTTTGGGCTTCCCATTCTTTCGTGCTCTCTCCCCCCGCCCCATCAGTGTATATAATAAGTGTTGCTAATATCTTCTAAAGGGACCTCGAGGCAAGCCAGGAGACATGGGCCCTCCCGGTCCCCAAGGCCCCCCAGGAAAGCTTGGACCTACAGGAATGAAGGGAGAACACGGACACCCAGGGAGCCCAGGAGAGAAGGGGGAGAAAGGGGAGACAGGACAGGCAGGCCCCCCGGTGAGTGCCAGGGCCGGCCGGGACCCTCTCCTGGGACGCATGCCTGCCTGCGCAGGTGCACCACCCCCAGCATGGCTTCTGTAGGGTGCTTCCTGCAGCCCGGGCTGGAAACCTGGGGTCGGGAGCTGGGGGCCGGGGACTCCCCTGGGTTTCCCTCAAGTCCCTGGCTTTAGGAAGGCCAGTTGCCCCCCCCCAACAAAGAGAAGGGGCCTATTCTGTCATCTCCTGTGTCTTTGGGAAAGTCCCTGAGGCTTGCAGGACCTCTGTTTTCTCATCTCTAAAATGGGGCTAATCATGCCCTCCCTGGATACTTCACTGGGTTGTTGGGAAGGTGATGAGGTCATGGGTGTAATCCTGCCTCTTTGGCAAGCATGCAGAAGGCCGACCCCCAGGGGAGGCTGCCTGTGCTGAGAAAGCACCTTGCCCAGTCCGCCGAGGCTGCTGACTTGACCCGGGAGTCTTCCGTGGGCTTCAGTGGTTTTCTTCTGTGAAATGGGCACCATCCTGGACCCCTGCCCTTGAAGGAAGGGAGTCACATGTGCATGCCACAGTTGGTCACAGATGCTCAACCGATGCCCTCGCTCTCGACTAACAGAGATCTTTGTCGATCTGTAGGGTCTAGATGGCCCAACTGGGGAGAAAGGAGAACCAGGTGGCCAAGGGAGACCCGGAGCAACAGGATTGCCTGGCCCTATCGGGCTCCCGGGATTTACAGTAAGGCGAGAGGGTGGGGTATCGAGGTTGTCAGCAGGCCACTGTGGATGAGGGCATGGGAGCGAGGGTGCCCCTCACAGTGGTCACCAGCCTAGCGGATGCCTGGCCCTGCAACGAGGCTGCACTAACCCCCTGCCTGCTTGGCCTTTTCCGGGGGGAGGAGGGGGCCGGCGGGTCCTCTTGATGAACAGCTACTCCGTGCGGACCATTGGAGTGTGAACACTGGTTCCCACTTCTCAGGTCACAGCACGGTGGCCTCTGCCTTCAGGCACTAGCCTGGCTCGAAAGTGCTAGAGTCTTAGACTCAGAATTCTCCTCTTAGAAGTATAAAAAACCTCAGAGGTCAAACAGTCCCACCTGTGACTCAGTGCAGGCGTCCCTCGGGAGCCACTCCCCAGGGCTGCCCGACTCAGCTGGGACAGGCAGGCAGCCCCCGGCCTCCTGACGTGTCCCCTCCACCGCGGAGCAGCTCCAGGGTTGGAGGGACTGCTCCTGGATGTGGTGCGGAAGCTTCCTCATCAACCTCCCGCCCGGCCCTCTCCCTGTACCTAGAGCCAGAGTCATTTCTGTAGCTGCGTAATGAATCACACATTCAGCGGCTGAAAACAACGCGCGCTCTGATCTGTGTCCGTGGGTCAGGAGTCCAGGCTCGCCTCCACCGGGTCCTCTGCCCGGGGGGCGCTCACGAGGCTGTGGTCAAGCCGCTGGTCTGCATGCTCATCCTCTTCCAGGCTCGCCGCTGTCGGCGAAGTCGGTGCCTTAGCTCCTAGGGGCTGCCCATGGTTGCCGGCCACAGGCTCTTGCCCACAGCAGGCAGTTCACATTAGAGCAGCTTGCTTGTTCAAGGCCAAGGCCAGCCGGAGTCTCTCTGAGTGCCTGCAGCCAACACAGGGCTGTGTGTGTGTGTGTGCGCGTGTGCGTGTATGCGTGTGTGTGTGTGTGTGATAACCTGAACGTACGCATGTTATAATTTGTAACATGAGCCTGTAACATAATCACAGGTGTGACATCCCATCACCTCGGCCATAAGCCATATTCTATTGGTTAGAAACAGGTCACAGGTCACCGCAGGGTCCATACACGATATCAGCCTCTCCTCCCACGTACTGGGACCTCAGATCCCCGAAGACTGTAATCTTAGGCCCCCTGCCCAGTCTTCATACTGCAGGCTGACTGTCCCCTCAGCCTCCGAGGTGGTCCTCGACAATACCTCGGCCTCGTCTAGTCCTGGTGTGGTTTGTCACAGATGTGAGGGTGTCCCTGTGCCCGGCCCCCCCTGAGTGCCGGCACCCACAGCATATGGTGTTTTGTGCCCACAGGGAGAGAAAGGAGAGCCCGGGGAGAAGGGGGAGCCAGGAGTGGAGGTAGGTTGTGCGGCTTGGCCTTCTGTGTCATGGGGGGTATTTGACAGGGACCTCATCAGCCCACAGTCCTTCCAGGACGCCCAGCATTTCCATGCTCTAGAAGGAAAGGCAAAGCTGCCTGACGTGGGGAGCGAGCAAGAAGCCGAACATTCACTGAGCACAGTAGCCCAGCCTCGGAGCCCCAGGGCACAATCCCCCCACTGGTGTTCACAGAGCACCCACCAGGTTTCCTTCCCGGTGCTAGAGTCTGGAGGTAGGAAAAGAAACAGAACCTCCTCTGTGCAGTGAACGGTCCCCAGCAGCAAGCGCTAGAATGGTGAGCCACTCGAGGAGCTGGATGAGCATCCTAGAAGATGGGTCCTTTGAGCAGGATCTTGAAGACTGTGTAGGAGTTTGCCTAGAAGCTCGAGAAGTAAACTTTCCAGAGAGACGCATTCTACTCTGAGAGGTGTGGTGGTGAAGGGAAGAGGAGAGAACAGTGGGGAGAGAGAAGTCCTGGGGTGGAAGCCAGGTTCTCATGAGATGAGAATCAGGCATATTTGGGGCATATCAGGGAAAGAGCCCAGAAAGCAACAGAGTTCAGCAGCACGTGAGGGAGAGGATGCTTGGTGGGAGGACCTGTGCCACACAGAGCCAGGGGAGGGACCATCAAGGCTTCGCAGCCCCCAGAGAGGTCCCTGGACCCCTGTCACCTTCAGTGTCACCAGGGCCCGTCCACGGTCAGGGAAGCGAACTTGATGAGATGGTATGTTCCTGAGTTAGAGACGGATGGCCTCCTGATAAAATGCTCCGAGATTCAGGAAGAGCACTACACACACAGAAATGTTCCTTCCAGAAGGAAGTAAAAATTGGAAACAAGCTACATTTCTAACAAGAAGGAAATGATTCAATAACTTATGGTAATAATATTAATGGTATAATAGTCCCCATGTTTGGGAGCGTTCCTTGTGCCAAGCCCTGCTCCAGGCCCTAGCCGGGGAGTAACTCATTTCGTGCCGCTCAGTCGAGACATGGAAAGGAGGCTTGTGGGGAACATGCAAAAAAAAAAAAAAAAAAAGAAAAACAGGTTTTGGGTTAAATGCAAAACAGCAGAGAATCAAATTATATATAAAAAAATCATCATTAAGCATGGACATATATTCATGTACATTTTACGCATCAAAAAAAAGAGTGGAAGGAAGTAAAGCAGAGTATTAGGAGTGTTCACGTACTTATTCTTTCCATTCTTTCAGTTCCCTTTAATTTACAAAATATTTTAATGGGTCTGTTATTACTTTAAATTTTTTTATTTTCAAGATTATCGTACAGTAAAATTGACTTTTGGGGGGAGTGTGTATAGGTCTGTGAATTTTATTTAATACATTCATAGGTCTGTGTAGCTACCACCACAATCAGGATGCATGAATCACTTATTTATAATAGAGAAAGAAAGCAGTGAACTTTTTAAGAAAAGAATCTGGAGTTTCCAGAGATTGAGCTGAGAAGTCCATGGATCCGAGACACATGAGAGGGACCCGGGCTGCCCAAGTTCAGGGTCTCCTCTTTGGTGGCCTGACAGAGGGGTCACCACTCTGGCCACACTCTGTGGGATTCGAACCCTGGGAAGGCAAGAAGAGCCCCAAAGTTGAGATGGGGTGACCAGCTCAGAAAGAAGCAGGCGGGCCTCCCTCCTGCCTCCCTCCTGCCTTTAATTAAAGGGAAGCAGAGGGCGCCTGGGTGGCTCAGTTGGTTAAGCGACTGCCTTCGGCTCAGGTCATGATCCTGGAGTCCCGGGATCGAGTCCCACATCGGGCTCCCTGCTCAGCACGGAGTCTGCTTCTCCCTCTGACCCTCTTCCCTCTCGTGCTATCTCTCACTCTCTCTCTCAAAAAAAAAAAAAAAAAATCTAAAAAAAAAAAAAAAAAAGGGAAGCAGAGACCAGCAGTCTCTGTTACAAACCCGAGGGGACTTGAGGGATATTTTCAAAAGCTGCTCAGCCTCCCCCCATTCCATATAACCAGTCTCTGCTCCTGTAAGCCAAAGGTCTCAAGTTCAAATGCCAGGCACACAACAAATGAATGCAAAGTTCCAGGTCACAGACAATAGGGAGTGGTGGGGACTGGGGTAACCTGAAGATTTCATGCTCCACCTGGAGGGGAAAGCTTTTATTCAGTTCCAGGCAATTATGGCCATGCATGAACAAGGGCCTACTGCTGCCAGGTTTTTCTTTTCTCTTTCTTTCTTTCTTTCTTTCTTTTTTCAAGAAAATCTGGAAGTCTAGACGTTTTGACAGCATTTCCTGGCAATGTGTGGGGTGTTTTTTTTTTTTTTTTTTCAACATGAGTTTCTGCCCTGTTCTCAGCCTTCTTTGGGGAGACCACATGCTGGGCAGTTCTGTCCTCCTCTGGCTTTGCCGTCCCCAGCTGGACTGTGGGCCATGTCAGAAGGGGAGGCCACTTGGAGTGTAACAGGGGATGGGCTAACCATCTCCCTTTGGATTCTAGGTTCCTGGGCCTCCAGGGCCAGAGGGGCCCCCCGGACCTCCGGTAAGTAGGGAGGGCTTGTCAGCATTTCAGCCCACTGTGATTGGGTCCCTACCATCCCCTCCCCCCCGGCAGTTGCTGTCACCTCTTCCTCCCAGGGTGGGATTTTCTCATCCACGAGCCCCTCCCTACTCCTTTGCCCTCCCATGTTAAACCGGCACCACGTCAATGACACCAAGGAGACTGGGCAGCGCCGGCTGTCCTGGAAACAGTTGACTGGCATGGCAGCCGCGGGGCCTGGTCCCACCACCCCGCAGGAGTCCCTCTGTCACTAAGCTCTGCCCTTTGCTATCAGACACCTGCTCCCCCCCTGCCTCCTTCCGGCTAACCAGCAGCAAAAACATCTGGATTAAGATGGAAAGTGATGTAAAACCAGCCCCACTGGACTGGCCTTTCCCGGTGACAGGTGAAAAGGTGGGGCTTTTATAGGGCCCCTAAGCATCCTAAACCAATAGAGGCTGGTCCTTCCTCTGCGGTGTTCCCAGGCCCCACGGCCCTGCATCACCCATTGCCATTGGCAGAAGTAGTAGTAAGAACGATGGCAGCCAGCATTTACCGACACTTCTTACGTGCCCGACACTGCTCCAAGCACTTCACATCCATAAATCTAATCAACCTTTGCTGTGTTCCTTCTGCATCTTCCCTTCATGAGGCTCTAGGTCAGCTGTGGGGGGGTCACAGAGAGACACAGTCCCTGGCTGGGGAGGCCTGGCTCAGACTCCACCCCAGGGAGCCCCAAGCACAAACCCCCTTAGCACCCCCTCCACTTCCCCTGAGCAGGGACCCCAGGCCCTTGCTCTTTTGTGGTCCAACTTGCAGACAAGATGTTTTTGACTTACCTAGAAATGCATTTCTGATGTGCCTCGTTTTGATTCCAAACGCAGGGGCTCCAAGGTGTTCCTGGACCAAAGGTAAGAAGAGGTCACGTGACGGGTGCTGGGGTGGGGAAGGGGCGGTGTCAGAGAGGGCCGAAAAGAAGGAAAGTCCTTTGGAGACGGGTGGCCCAGCCGGTCCCTTCCCTAAATGGAATCGTGTTGACACTGGCCAGTGGCTACAACCAGGAGAGAATGAAGTCCTTTTAACATCCATCATTGACCCTGGGCGGGCTTCCGATTTAGAATTTTCCCATCCATTAATCCACCCTATGAGTAATGGGTTGGATTCTTAGCAAAGGATGAAATCCTTTTCCAAGTAACCTGCCCCAGACCTTTCACTCACCCTGAAGTAGAGGTGGAGACAGGGAGGGGTGTAGTGTGGGCCCCCTCCCTGGGTCCAAGCCCATTGTTCCCTGGCTGGGGGGGGGGTCTCCCAATCTCCCCCTTCAAAAGCATTTCAACTGGATAAGAGGGCCTTGGGACTGATGGCATATTGTCCTGTGCCCCCCCCAATATTCCTCAGGAGACTGTTGGGCAATTTTTCATCCCAATTAGTTGGGGAGCCTCAGAGCTCCCATGCTGGCATTCTAGGCACCTGCCAGCCAATCTCTGCAGGGCCCCAGTCTTCCTGCTCTGCAAACGGTCACTTCTGCCCAAGCCTGATCTGGAACTGCCCTGTGGGTCTGTCTCTGCTCCACCCATCCCCTTTTCCTTTGGGGACCTCACAATTACCACAGGGATACCGAGGAGTCCAACGGAGGTGGAACCAGGCTAGGAATTCAAGGATTCCTAGAGCCTCCATCCGTGGGCCAGCCACCTCTGTCCCCTCCTTCCTCCATCCTCTACCTGCCCCGTCTCCCCAACCCACCCCTGTCTCCAGGACCCCAGAATGCAAGAACGAGTTGTCTGAGACATACCCTTGTGTGATCTCCCCCCTCCCTTTCCTTCAGGGGGAAGCAGGACTAGATGGAGCAAAGGGAGAGACGGGTGCCCAGGGAGAGAAAGGAGATCGAGGGCCGCTGGGATTACCCGTAAGTATCTCAGAGCCAGCAAGCCTGTGAGGAGCCTAGCTGGGTGGTCCTGAGGAGGCTGGGGTGGCGTGCCGGACCCCGGGAGAAGGCTGCTGCAAAACTGGGGGTTCGAAAGTTCTGAGCATTCCGGAACACTCCGTGTGGTTTTGCTTTCCTGCCTGGTCAAGACTGTAGACTCTAACTCCCTTCCCGAGGGCTTCCTCTGGGCCAGGTCCCGACCTGGGTGTCGGAGAGAATGCAGAACTAAATAAGACAGGGCCCCCCACCCAAGGAGCCCCCAGCTGGAGAGCCTCAAGTGGCCTGAGAACAGCCTCAGGCCCTACATGTGCCTGATTCGGAGGCAATAAAAATCTGCCCTTAATGGGAGCCAAGCTTGGAGGACCTGGGAGCAACAAGATGGTGAAATGTTCTCCAGCTCCCTCCTATTTCCCTATCTTCAGCACCCGCTACAGCAGAAAAGCTTGTACAAAGGCAGATTCTCTGGTCCCAGCAGGCTAAGGCCGCTCAGATCTCTCATCTCAGCCTGTCCTGAGATCAGACCCCAGGTTGGGGCGAGGTGCTGCTCGGGAGGCATCTACATTTCCAGATGTGGGGGCCTGGCCTGGGTGAATCTTTTGCCCCAAGCCCCAATGGGCTCCTGGCCTCATCAATGCCTCCCCTCTGTCCAGGTGCATGCCCTCTACCACCCACCCTGGAGCCCTGGGCTTCCTCCTCCCTCACCCCCCAGTGGGGCTGGCACTCTTTGTGGCTTGGTTTTCGAAAGCTGGAATGGACGTCACGGATCCATCTACTCATTTTACTGATGGGCCCAGAGAAGAGAGAGTCACTTGAGGTCACATATGAAGTCAGTGGTTAGGCCATGCCAGAGGCCGCTCCTTTGCTGAGGCCATCGCCTTGCAAAGGGGCTCTTTCCAGCCACTGGGGCTTCCTCTGTCCTGGGCGCGAGGCCAGTTCCCACCCTGGGAAGCCATAAAGAGCAGGAGAACAAAGAGAAGCCCAATTACCCCAGCTTGGCAGAGCTTGAAGGTCTGGTTAATATAATCACAGCAACCAAACAGCAAGACCAAAAGGTATGATCACTCCCTCATTAGTGCATCAGATGTAGGACATGTAAGGAGCTGATGTGCCTGACAGACTATAGGGAACTGATGACTTTAACAGACATCTTCCCATGTCTTGAGCTGTGTCCAGAATGTTTAAGTACTCCTCACAAGAAAAGAGCCTTCCTGCCCCCACTCAACCACAAATCTCCCCTTGTCCACCTTCAGGGCCCCAAGGCCCTAGTGAATACTGGAGAATTTAGTCCGGGGTCGAAATGCAAATGGTGCAGAGACCAAACAGGTTGTATAAACAAAGAAAGTGCCAGAGGAAAGACAAAAGTGCCCAGTCTATCTTTAAGTTGTCAACTTTCAGTAGAGACGTGGGTACAGAGAAATACCTTTGCTAGCTTAAGAAAACAACACAGCATCTCCACAAATGGCAACCAACGGGGACTTCAGAACGGGGACTTACTTCAGAGAGGCAAGAGGCAGTGGTGGGGACTGGGGCACGCTGGAGGCCACGCATCCCTTCTTAAGGCGAGCGGTCCCTCCTCCGTTCAGCTAACTGTCGTCACGGGGGAATGAGGGCCCAGTACTTCCAGATGGTCTCATTTTTCCAAGGAAGCTGGACATCTGGCATTTTATGTGAAATCTCCCCATTTTCTAACATTAAATCAAAATTACTTGCAACTCCGCAGACCATGCCAAATATGTCAGTGGCCTGCACGTGGCCTGAAAACTACCAGTCCGTGCCCCCTGCTCCAGATGTCTCAAGATAAGTCGGGATTGATACTGCGTAGACAAAGTTTGTGGATATTTAGTTGAAGTTCTGATTTTCAGCTTCGCCTCCATACTTTATGCCATAGAGTAGCAGCCTGTTTTTCCAGAACATCCTACGGAATTCTTCCTGTTGGCCCTACGGAAGTGATTCTCAGTGCTGGCTGCACACTGGAGTTGCCTGGAGCTTTTCAAACAAGTCATTACCCTGGCCTCACTCTTGGAGACTCTGGTTGAATTGAGGTGGGGGAGGGCCCAAGCATCTCTATTATTTTACGCTCCCCCTCTCCCCTCAGGAAATGCTGATGATGCCGTGGGGTGGAGAACCTCAGCTCTCTAGGCCATGAGTTAGGATCATCCCAGAAGTTTGTGATCCTAAATCTGAGAAGGGAGACCCTGGAGGATCCTACTACCCAACACCTTTTTCCCTGTCCTCCCTTGCCTGGGGGCATTCCCCCACCTTTAGAATCCTGAAGCCTAGGCTCATTTCTGAGGCTCAGCTGGTAGCCGTTTTTAAGAACTCAGTCCTTACTGGGCTAGAGTGTCCCCACTGCCTTCTCTCTGGTTTGTCACATTGCGATCATTAGACAAATTTCCCTCTGGGTCTCCTAGGTGTGTCCTGGGGGCAGCTTCCCAGCCCAGCTTTGGAGGAAAAGCACCTCATAGATCACTGGATGCTACATAGCAAGTGGGTCTTAGCATCCCACCCGCCAGCCAGTTTACTCCAGGGCATAGGTGGCCTTAGACCTCTGTCCCAGTCAGCTGCCCCCAAAGCCTCTTTCTCTAAAAGGGCCCCTGTCTGGGAGAACAGGAATGGATTGCGTTTGTGCTGCGCTTTGCAAACCACGCAGTGCCAGAGAAAGGTCAGGCATCGGGAGGACTAACATCCGAGGGCCTTCCCCCCTGCCACCCCCAGAGCAGAAGCAGGCCAGCTTCTACCCACGTTCCCAAGCCGGGTGCTATAACTCAGTACTGATTTCCTCGGGGTTCCCCAGCCTGGCCGTCTCCCCAGCCGTGCAAAAAAAGGCTGGGAAGACAGCCCACCCTTCACATAGGCTTGTCCCTCTGTAGGGAGACCCATCCTGGGAAGGATGCCCTCCCTCTGGTTCCAAACACCTTTCCATGAATTCTCTTTCTGCATCCCTTTCCCCAGAGCGCTGCAACCCCTTGGCAGGGGGATTTCTGGGAGGCGCTACCAGGAGAGAGGGGGGCAGGGGCAGAGGATGAGAAGGGCCGTCTGCACTGCTCCCTACCGGCCTCGGCTCGGCAGCCGGCCACACTGCCGCTCGGTGTCCGTTTTTGTTGGTTTCCGTGTGAATACCATCACCTGTCCTCCCAAGCTTATTTCTCCCGTTTTGTTTGATGACCAGCATTTGTGTCTGTCCGGAGTCACTGCTTCACTCACCTCTTCCCTCCCCCGGTCCCTTTTTCTCCCTCCCGTTCCTCCCCTCCCCTTCTTTCGGTCAAACATGTTCCCTTCATCCAGGGAGCTTCAGGTTTGGACGGCAGGCCTGGGCCACCGGTGAGTGTCACTTCTCCGTTACCCCTCAGCCCGCCCCACCCCACCCCCAGCCTGTGACCCCTCTCATCTCTCCCTGTCCCGCTGTGGCCTCGTTTTCCCAGTGAGTTCTGCCTTATCCCATCGCCAGCACCAGAAATGTACCATCTGTGCCCAGTTCAGAAATGCTTCTTCAGGCCTCTTGACCAAAGATGGGTGGGCTTCCTCTGCATTCCCCTGGCCATCGTATGGATCCAGGGTCCTCAAATCTGGGTCTCCTGACCGCTGGACATGGGGTGGAGGGCTGAGTGAGGCCTGGGAGCCCAGCCCCAGGGGCTGGGACCACGACTCGTGCCCACCAAGCACAACAGTGTCTGTATGTGCCCGTCGTGCTGTGTTGTCTTCATGCTGTGAGCTCTGTCCATCTCCTGTCTGCCCACAAGGGCTTCCTAGTCCTGTGCAGCCCCCTCTGGTATGTACTGGGGTGAGGCCGGGTGTAGCATCTAGGATCATATGGGACAGTCCCAGTTCAGTGATCTGCGGGCCCGTGACCCTGCTTCCTGTGGTGCCCCGGCCGCCCCGCAACTCAACAAGGGGTTTATGCAGAGCAAAGGAGGAACACTTGGGTCCCCTCTTTCTCCATTCTTTCTGATTCCAGAAAACAGGCATCACCTACTCATGACTAGAAAGCACCTGGCCCTTCTTCTGGTGACAAACAACTGAAGCATCAGGAAAAGAGTCTCTCCTCTCCTGTCCACCTTCCAGGCCCCTCCCAGAGTGCCCCGTAAGGTCTTTAGGGAAGTGGCATTCCCACTGAAGCCTGGCACCTTCCCAGGGTCTAGGGATCACTGACCATCCAGGGCCAGCGGCTGGACTTCCTTGCCCACGAGCCATAACCAGAGCTGTGTGTGCTCAGCCCCTGCTAGACAGGGAGTCCCAGCTTGGCCCTTGTGGGACAGTTTTGAGGCCTGGAAGACAAGGTTCTAATGAGCTGGCTGGGATGACACTCGGGGGGAAGATGAATTTGGAGGGTTTCATTTATGGAGGGGAGGACAGGCCTGCAGGCGGAGAGGATCCGCAACTGATGCCAACGGGAGCCTAGAGCTTTGAGAGGGGGGCGACCAAGCGCAGCCCCACTCAGAGCCTCATCCTATGGCATGTGCCCTCAGAAAGCAGAGGAGGTGACGGGCCTCGCCCAAGGCCACATCCTTTCCAGAGCCCCTCCCCATCACACGTTTGTGGAGGCGACACTGTAGACTCTTCCATTCAGACTAGACCTCTTTCCTGGGCTGTGCTCCCTACCCCACCCCCAGAGTCCGTCCCTTTGCCCCCTCCTCACACCTAGCGTGCCTTCTCCAGGTGGCCGGTCAGGGCTTGGGGATGATCTGTGGCTGGAATCAGAGAATCCAAAACTGTCCTCCATTCTTGCTGGACAGAGGGGAGCCGGGCAAAGACATAGATTCTGTCCCCTTTGGACCTCAGGTTGTATTTTTCTCATTAAATCAACATCACAACCTTAAAGGAAAAGTGTTATGGGAGGAATAACCTGCCCTGCCAATACTAACATTTACCGGTGCCAAATGTGTGACGTGCGTTCATCCATTTCAACCGGGCAGCGGCCTCGAAAGCAAACACTCGTGTCATCATCCCCCTTTTACGGGGGGGGGGGGGAACGGACCCTCAGAGAGCCAAGAAGCTTCTCCAATATCTCAGCGTTGATAGGCCTTCGAGGCTGGACTTGAAGCCGGCCAGTGACCCTGCAGTGCTGTTCTCAGCCAAGACCCTGATCAGGCCGCTCTCATCTCTGACACCCCATAGTCTTCCCTCGTAGCTGCAGAGGGGGCACGGAGGATGTCTTATGGCTCTTTTTTTTTTTTTTCCTTGTAATGTAAATCGGTGTTTCCCCACTTGCTCGAGCCCGAGCCCGGAGCAGCACCGGGAACTGCCCACTTGCCAGCCCCACATCCTCAGGGCCTTGTCTGAGCAGGAAGCCTAAACACGGAGGCAGAGCAATATAGACCTGAAATATAGACCTCCTTCTAGTCGGGGTGGACATCGGGGACCTGGGGAAGGTGCTTAAGTGTGCCATAGCCAACCCCGCCCTGCCTCTAAGCCGAAGGTTCCAGCTGCCCCGACTCCCCCGGAGCCCTGAGTCCAGAGCGGGTGGGACCCCCCTCGCTGCCGGGCCGGTGCCTGCAGACACCGGAAGCGCACCCATCACTCTCCGGTCTGGCCTGCCCCGTAGGGCCGGGACACGGGGACAGAGGCTGAAGGCCAGGGTGGCCCACGGTGGGGCGGGTGGGGTGAGCAGTAGCTGAATGACCCACCCCCGCACCTGCCTCTGTGTGTGTGCGTCTGCATCGGTCTCTGTGGCATGAGCCCCCACCCCTGCATGTGGAGCTGCAACAGCAAACAGGTGCCGGCCCCTGCCCCCACCCCGATGGCCTCCCCCCACCCCCCAAGCGCTTCAGGGAGCAAATGAAGCAGCAGTTATCCTACCGTTTTCAGCCTTGGCAAGCTTGGTGGGGAAGCAAAAGGGTTTCCCTCCTCAAATCTGGCTCTGAGGCAGGGGGAGGCCTCTCTGCCCGAGGCCCCCACCCCAAATAGGAAGACGCCCCAGTCCAATGACTGCCCTGAACGAGCCTGGCCTCGCCAACCCTGAAAATGGGCCTTGGGCCTTGCTCATCTCCAGTGCCGGGCGGGCCTCCCGGGGCTCCCCACCGACATCAGGCCCCTCACCCCTGCTTTCTTTCGCCCCCCCCCCAGGGTACTCCAGGACCAATCGGAGTCCCAGGCCCAGCGGGACCAAAGGGCGAGAGGGTGAGTGCTCAGTCTCTCCAGAGAGCCTGCACACCAGGAGGGGTCCGGCACCCCTGCCCAGCCGCAGGTCCTCAGTCCCAACCCGTCCCCCCAGCCCAGCAAGCACCTCATCCGTGGCCTCGCCCGGTGACCCTCACAATAGCCTGTGGGGGAGCCGGCCGAACTGGGTTGCTCACTTTATCGCTATGAGTGGACAGACGGACAGCTTCCTGTGCCCAGCTCCTGGTCACCTGGCATTGGTCACAGGCTCCGTCTGGCCGGGCCCCAGGTGCTGCTGGGAGCAGACACACCTAAGCCTTGTGATGATTTAGGGAGACAGCATGGAATGGAGTGCCAGGTAGTGTAAGAAAATCCCGGGCAACATCAAGAAGTCAGGAGGCCGGGGGGCGTTAGGCCAGCTCCCACAGTCACTGTCTCCCATGGAGTGGGTGCGTGTGCCGTGCTGCTGGGGGACTTGGCTCAGACGAGGAGGAGGGCCGCCCATCCCATCCGGGTCCGCTCTTCCCGGCCAGGCCCCAGGTTCCGCACATTTGGGGCGGGAGATCACCAGAGGGCTGCGGGGGCGCGAGACCCTGTGCGGGGCATCTGTGGACCTTCTGCCGCAGGGGAGGCTCCGCCCCCTTCGCTCACTGACGACATGGTTGAGGGCGCAGAGGGTGGGGAGCTTCTGCAGAGGGGCATAGATGTCCCTCCCTGAGATCACAGCCACTTTGGGGACCAGGATGGCTGCTTTCAGGGGTGACAGTTGTGGCCTCAAAGAAGAAAGCAAAGCTCTTTTTCTCTCTCCCCCCTCTTCTCTGTCCATGCTCATTTCCTGCTCCTTATTTCCCCCCTCGGCTTCTGCTTGAGGCCAGCTAGTAGCTTCAGGGCACTGTCCGGTCTTTCCAGAGGGCCTTGGGGGATGGGCTCCGCTGGAGGGGGGTGGGGAGGCCTCCAAGTCCCCCACCGTGGTGGAGTCCACACCAGTCACACCCTCCGCTGAGCCCTTGCTTCATAGAGGGCTCCTTGAAGGGACCAGAGAGGTTCCCGGGGTTTCCTACAGAAACAGAAAACGGTGGGCGGAAGGTGGTTCCCACATCAGGGGGGGCTCATGGGTTTCTTTCTCCTGTTTCAGGGCAGCAAAGGCGACCTGGGGATGACAGGACCAACAGGAGCAGCTGGGCTTCCTGTAAGTGTCATGCGACTGGAGCTTTCTCTCCCCCACCCCTATCCCCCAGCAGAAGCCCTGCCAAGGCAGACTGCCCAGAGCCTGGAGCAAACATCCAGAGCCGAGTGAAAATGCTGATTTCTATGCCAGAGGAAGCTGCCAACAGCCCCGTGGGCGTGGAACTTCCCTGCTGGGCACTGCTTGAGGCAAACCTGGGGACACGTGGGCCCTGTTGGGGTACCAGGTCCTCAGCCATGTGGACCACCCGATGGGATGCGGGGGGGGGGGTCTCACAGATGAATGTGCGTGGCCATCGAGGAAGGACAGAAGCAAAGCCAGATCATTATAATGCAAGAAGGAGATGTTTCATGACAGGACTGCCTCCCCAGTTTTCCTGCTGTGTTGTTGTAAAAGTGGGTGGCCTAAGAGAGCCAGGACCACTGTTTCCACCCACTTGAAGGTTGTACATCTGTTCATCAGCTCCATGCGTGGCTGCCCAAGCAAGTTTGCTCCAGCCAACCCCAGCCAGTCTTTGCCTGGTGCTGCTTCCCTAGCTGAAGTCATGGAGGACAGCCTATAATTGAAAAGAGCAGCTTTGGGGTCACTTTTCTGGCAAGAGCCTGGCGGGAGAGCCATGCAAACACCTCTTCTGCCAGGAGAGTGCTCTGCGCACCGACCATGTCCTCAGCACCTGCCACCCGTCAGCAGGAGGGAACTAGAGGAACAGGGCCGCAGGCCAGGGCCTCGGCTGCAGAGAGAGAAAACCGGAACCTTATTCTTGGCTTCGCCCATACCTCATTATGTGTCTAGCGGTCAAGTCCCTTTGTCCCCTTCTGTAAAGCAGGGATAATTAAGCCTGTCTCTGATGAATTAGGCATCAGACCTTTCTGAGCCTGGAAGGAAGGCCTGGGCGGTCCTCCTGTCCTTTCTCATGAACGTGTCTTCATTTCTTTGATTTATTGCAGGGTTTACATGGACCACCCGGAGACAAAGGAAACCGGGTGAGTCTGAGCCCTTGCACTTTGGCTGTGGTTACTAATGTCTTCATGATGTGGTGGAATGATCAATTGGGGATTCCTGACCCAACATTGGCAAATACAGTTCTTCTGGTAAATCATCTGAAATTAAAAGGCTTTGTAGTAAAGAGCTTACTCTAGCGTGCAGGCAGCCTGGGGCCTAATCCTGAAATGGAAGCATGGTTTTCTCCCACCTGGCAACGGAAGACTGAATCCCACGGTGGTCACCAGATTAACATTGCCGTCCAGCCACGGGAGCCATGTGCTCCCTCTCTGCAGCGCCCTGCCAACGGACCCCTCGATGGTATTTTTAGACCCACCACTGCCTAGTCGTAGCCTTCTGAGATTTCGTTTCGCCAGGCATCCCAGGCCACTGGCGAGAGACAAAAAAATTCCGGCTCCAAGCACAAGCACACTTCTGTTGTAAGCAGCCAACCCTTTAAAAAATGATCACAGCCATTATTTCTCTTGGAAAGAGCCCGCAGGACCATGAAATGAATCGCATCTTCCGAGGTCCTTTGCTGTCCCTTTGGTTTCTACCATCATCACCAGCACAGAGCTGTTGAACGTCCACGGCCCCCACAGCCATGTGGTAGGATGGGACACATGCCACGTATCTGACACAGGCCACGTCTGGGCCCAGCAGGGACCATTTAACCACCTCAGACCCAGAGATGAGTTGTGGGTCCGTTCACAGAAGGTCTCGCCTGCTGCTTCATCACAGCAGTCCCCAGAGTGTGACCCACAGCACTTAGAGGCCCCAGCGCATCTTCTAGTGGGTCACGTTGTCCAGGGGTCTCAGGGAGGAGAGAACAAGTGGAAGAACAGAGGGAGAGACAGGCCAGGACCACGACAAAATATACCAAGCTCCCACAGAGCTTTAGAGGCAGAACAGGTGGCTCCCAGATCCCAGGTCCTCCAGCTGATCTTTGAACACTGATAACCGTGTTCATGGATAGAAAGTGCCAGAATCTGTATGCTTATATCCTGCACCAATTCCTGTCTCTTCCATTTAAGATATTTATTGAACTCTTCTCTAGCCCTAAGTTCTCCTTCCTGGCAGCTGGTCGAAAGTAACTCAATTTGCTCCATATATTCTATAAAGAAGAGGAAGCAGGCAGAGTGAGGCCTACCAAACTGTCCATGGAAGACCAAGTCTAGAAACCACTGGAATTATCAGACCTACTTCCGGAAATGTGCTGGCTGGTAAGGCAGGCGGGAAAGCCCACCTTCCTTCCTGTGTCATCAAAGAATTGAGGCCACAAAAGAAAAAGAAACAAAAATTGATCATTCCACCTCTTAGCTGGCATACTAATCTCCTAACTTATTTCTAAAGTGTTCTGGTTGTCTTTAGCATATTCAATTAATATTTTAACTATTTCTTACGACTTTTTCAGTTGGCTTGCGGCAGTGAGCCATTCTAAAGCTGCACCACCAGTGATGATCACGTTCCCCTGGAGGTGGAGGTGGGGCAGGCCGATGCCCTTGTCACAGGTGGAGGGGCAGCGGGTGGCAGGCGGCGGGCGGCGCTGAGGCAAGGCTCTGGGGTTGTTGAATGAGCCAGTGAGGCCCCAGGAATCAGCGGGAGAATATTTCTCTTCCACTTCTCCTCCCTGAGGCCCTACAAACCTTCCCCTGCCCCACCTGTCAGTTAGCAATAGGTCACTTAGTAAAGGTCAAGTCCAGAAAACAGGTTGCACGAACTCGCTTTCCGGTAACCTCTAAAGAACAACTGACTAGTTCCAAAGAGCAGGTTTGCGGATCAAGGAACAGCTTGTGTCCTCCATTCGAGAGATCTGACTCTCAGGACGCCAGAATGTCCTGGAAGAGTGCCCCCTGCGTCTCACCTCTTCAAACAGACCTCTTAATACCACTGGCCCTAGCAGACCTCTTGGGGGGAGATGTGAGGGCTTCATAAGAAAGCCTTCAAAACGAAGTTCTACGCAGAGTCGGCGCTTTGCCATGGCCAGTTCTTTTTCCTGAGGCCTGGAAGCTCAGAATAGTGACGCTTTGGTCAAAGGAAAAGACCAGAGGGGCTTCGATGACATTCTAGTTAGAAGCCTCACCGTTGCTCGTGAAGGCGAAGCTGCAGGTGTTCCGAGCCCCGGCCCCACCAGGCATGAGAAGGTGGCTGCCTGAGGCCGCTCTCAAACTTCGCTGCACGTCATGCCTGGGCCCGTTAGAGAGGCCCAAGTGGGCGCGCCGCAAGCCCATTGCTCCGTCTTACCATGAACGGGGACCCCGTCTTAAAACTACGCTTCTGTGTCCCACCAGGCAACAGTCTTGGAGCCTCTTTCCCATTCCTGAAATGAAGAAGGTCCTTGTAGTAGCACTCAAGGCCCAGAGCCCAAAACAGGCCATTTTCTAAGGGAACACACATGGCCGTGGAATGAATGTCCTGTCCTTGTCCCAAGGGACGCTCTTCCCGGCCTCTAACAGCCCCGAGAATTTGGCCCAGGAGCCACGTTTAGGGTGAAAAAGTTCATCACAAGATAACGGTGCCTCAGGGGCGCCTGGGTGGTTCAGTCGGTTAGGTGTCCGACTCTTGATCTCAGCTCAGTCTCCATCTCAGTGTCGTGAGTTCAAGTCCCACGTGAAGCTAACTTAAAAGGGCAGGGAGATAAAGGGTGGCATGAATTTGGCATTTGGCATCAGGAAAATTGGGTGCAGGGGTGGAGCTGCCTGCAAGCCAGCCAACTGGAAAGTCTGCATGCATGCAGGGCGGTTGCTGTCACTCTTCACGATGCCCCGGCTGGGGTGTGTGCGCATGCTTGTGTGTGCGAGAGGCCTGCTCCGCCAGGTCCCCCTGGCCTCCTTACCTCTCTGCCCTCCGTTATCTCTTTTGGTCTAAGCCAGACTCTTCCTTCCTTCTCTCCTTCAGTACTTGGCGCAGACGTGCTTGCCCCATCGCCAGACCCCATCCCCCTCATCTTTCCCCTCCACTCTCCCAGCTTCAACTCAGTTCCTCTGAAATCAAGTTCCTTATCTGTATTTTTTAAAGAATTTTTTTTGTATTTGTATTTTTTTGAATTTGTATTTTTTAAAGAAACCTTTTATTTGCCCTTTCCCCGCCTACTATCCCCTCTTTACCAGGGCCACTTTCGTGTCACTCCTTAGGGGTGGGAGGCAGGGCGGTTGTAGGTAAAGCTAGTACTCTAATACCTTCGAAGAACACCCACTTTAAAGCCATTTCTTGGGCCCTTAGGACCTGCCTCCCCATAGTGCAAGCTACACACCCTGAAAGTCAGGACCACCGCTGCCGACCCTCTGTTGCCCGAAGGCAAATCATCCGGGACCTGGAACCCCACCCCCACCAACTCCTCGGGAGCTTTGTCCACCCCCGGGACGTAGGCAACTGCGTTCACTTTTACACTGGCCTGACCCGAGGAGAAAGAGGGACCACTTTGCTGAGAAAGTTTACCCTGGGGCTTCCCATCAAACAGCTAGCAGTTTTGCTGGTCCACTGCTCGGGGACTATTCACGCCGTCGCATTCTCGTCAGCGGGCGTAGCTCAGAGCCAATGGGATGGCACCTAGTAACGCTTATACACGTGTCCTCCTGAACACATCATTTTCCAAGGCAGCATCTGCACTTTAGAAAACTCAGAACAATCCACTGGCGATTATAGGGAACCTCTGGAATCAAGAAATTTGAGGCATTTCCAAAGATTCAGAGAAACATAAGAAACATTCTTGTCCTTGGCCTCCCACCCCCACCGCCAGGAACCGTGCAGCCTTCCACTGTGGGAACACGGTAGACGTGCCGGGCCAAACTGCGGCAGCCGGCTTGGCTCCAGGACAGGCTCGCGGGAAGTCATTGTTGCCACAGTAATCATGGGGAAGCAGCTATCATTACTGAGCATTGACTCTCTGCCACCATTAAATGGCACCATTAAATGTGCACAAAGACATCACAACAAAGTTTTGAGGCAGGTGCTATTATCCACGTGGTACAGGTGAAGAAAAATGAGACTCAGAGAGGTTGAGTAACTTGCCAAAGACACACTGCCGGTCATAGGCGGGACCCGCTCTGGCTCCAAGCCTTTCTTCTGATCCCTGTGCTGCCTGCCTTCAAGGCCTTGTCCACCTCGAGGAGCATTCTGGAAGCCCCCCGGCATGAGAGAGTCAGCCTTCTGCAGCAGAGGAGAACTATTCCCAAGAAGACTCCCCACGGGCACACTTGGCCCCTTTGTAAGGAGACCCAACACAGGAAAATCCAAACTCAAATTCATTACGAAGAAGTCCCCGTAGCCTTTCTTGAAATGGAGAGTGACCCCGACACATACAGAAGGGGGTTCGATTTAGAAAGATGAAGCTTACTGAAGTTTTTCAGAAACAAATGAGTTCCTTGAACCAACTTGTCTGTGTACAAATTAGCTGCCTCTGATTCAGACCAGAGACCAGAGACCCACATACAGTGGGAGGACCTATCAGAGAGCCAGGGGCCACCCAGGAGCTCTGGACACACACGTACACGTGTGAGCTTGTACACATGCACAAGCACACACTCGTATATGCACACACGTGTATACACATTCCCAAGCACACACTCACACATTCATACAAACATACATGCACACAGTATGTGCACACATTCACACGCACACACACGCATACACACACACACACCCCAGGGCTCTAAATAAAATCATCCTGCCTCCTAATAGAATTTCAAAGGAATGAAAACCAATTGGGACCACAGTTGTCAGGTCAAAGTCTTTCAAAAATGGACCCTCCAGGAGAAGGAAGTAGGTCCCCCTGTTCATCCCAGGCCTACTCTGGGCTCAGAATTAGCAAAACTGGCCCCAAGTAGCTTCCTCCTACATTTCCCTCCACCTCCAGCTCTGAGCCCTACTGGCTCCCAGCCCCCAGGCCTCGATTTCCTCCCCTGCCGCCCTGCCCACTGGCTTTAGCCAAGGTTCCCAGCTTATAGAGGGGTGGGGATGGGTGCTGACCTCAAATCCTATTGGGAAGAATATCCTATTTAAGCCATGTTATTTTCCCTCTTTATTTTTTTTCTTTTTCTGTTTCTAACCTTAACACATGAATGATCCTAAAGTTTTGATGTTATTTTTTTCTCTTGGACTAAACCATTATTTACAGGGGGAGAGGGGGAAGAAAGGCTCTAGAGGGTCCAAAGGGGATAAGGGAGACCAAGGAGCGCCTGGATTAGATGCCCCCTGCCCATTGGTATGTCTTCATTTATCACTTGCATTGTTCTGGTTTTTTCCTTGAGGTTTGCAAGTTGGAAACCAAGAAGGCAAATAGGCTAAGATGGTGAGCGAATACCTACACTGATGCTATCAAATCTATCCTGTCACTTGGCCAGGAAAATTCTGCCTGCTGGTGGTGGTGCCCTCAAACCACAGCTGCAAGTCATTCTGGCTGAATCCCTTTCCTCTGAAGATGCAGAACAATTGATGTGTGGAAACAAGAACCCAGTCCCCGAGGAAAGGGATCTTGGAGCAGGCCTTGGCCCTCCGCTCCAGGATAGCTCTGGAAGCCAGTGTAGCATTTGCAAGCCACACATTTGCCTTCTTCGTTTCGTGGCCACCTCTGTGGCCAGCAGTTCAAGCTGTTGGAATCCTCCGTCGGGATGCAGGACACCAGGCCCCAGACGGGGTAGAACAAGGCCGGAAAGGGGGCTTTTAATATACAGCCTCCCCATGGCCACTAGCCATGCAACTAAAACTTGTGAAGCCGTAGACCAAAATCAGTAGACAGAGCCCCTCCAGGAGCCCCCAAACAAGCTTATAAGGAAGGATTTGTGGCACATTAGCTGGGCTTCTCAAGTGCCCTCACAATCCGTTTGAAGGTTCTGAAAATTATGATACGCTAAATTTGAAGTTCATCCATGTTTATTCCAAGTGAGTCTTTAAACGGAGAGGGGGCTGGCTGTACATGTTCCAAAGCTCAGCTCTCGTGGAAGCCAGAGAGAGCACAAAAGTTGAATCTGGGAAGTGGGAATCCGCTGGGATTGGGGCCCTACTTGTAGCTGCCTCGAGGGTCCTGCATCCTGGCTGGGGTGGGACTTGGGCCTCTCCACTCCACAGTCGGAGCTGGCCAGCCTTGACCTAAATAATCATCGTGGTTGGTTTTGTGAACAGGGACACCGAGGTTTTAAAGGAGAGAAAGGGGAGCCGGGGTTACCAGGGCTGGACGGACTGGATGCCCCATGCCCATTGGTATGGCATCACCCTCCCCTGCCTGCATGGCCGATTCGGGCTTCCCCACGTGTGTGGTTCTCGCCTGCATGCCTCTCTGGCCACACACCGCCCCCCGCTACACGCCTCCTGCCCCTTCTCTCTGTAGACGCTAAGGGTCACCCTGCCCTGGCCGGTCCTCAGGGGCCCCCGCCATGCCCCCTCAAGCATGCAAAGTTTGCCAGGATGTTTTCTTGGCTTCTTCCCACAGCTGCTTCAAAAGCACATCCCCTTCATGTGAGCCGTCCCGCCCGCCCCCTAAGCCAGCTTTGGCTGCATATGATTCTCCTTTCACAGCTGCTTCTAGCCATCCTACCCCCAGAAAGAAAGCTGGGGAAGTGGATTCTCTGGGCAGGCTCGTAGCAACCCTGACTCCTCTTCCTTCACACACGGCAGTTGGTTCGGCAAAAGCATCTGCTGAGCACCTGGCAAAACACTTGAATGAGATGCCTGAGCCGGTCCCACAGCCCTTCCCACTCCACCATCTCATGAGGTGGCAGGGGACCGATGGGCATGCTCATAAACATGGGGAGACTGGGAAGTTCTAGAACGGAGGTAGAGGAGGGGGCCACCCTGCCCATTCTTCCAGGCTGGGTCTGGGGTCGCTGCCCCAGTGATACCACCAGAACCAGGGAACAGTCCAAGAGCAGGATTTTAGAGACTAAAGGTCTCGTCCCTTTTGCTCAAACCCTGGAAGACCCTAGAAGACCCTCCCTTGGCTTCCCTTCCTTCCATCTTTAGATGGTTCACCACCAGCAAGTCTGGAAGAGAATGGAACGGTTGGGAATGTTATTGAGGAAGGGAAGACAGGAGACTGGAGGTACTTAGGAATACTCTCCAAGCATGTCCCGGCGGAGTGGCCACAGTGCGGCTCGAGCTGGGCCCCGGCCCCCACCCCCCTTGGGGCAGGGACACTCTCGCCCCCACAGCTATCTTTTCGCCTCCCTTTAAGGGGAATAGAAGATGGCCCCTCATGCCAAGGCACTTGGTTTAAAAGGTTCCTTCTCTCCTAAATGTCCCCAGGAGTTCTGGAGTTCATGGAGCTATTTTTATACAAGCAATAGCCAGATGAGGGCTCCGGGTCCCAAATCCCGCCCCAGGGTCCCATGGGAATTATCTTTGAAGAGAAGGGAAAAAGTTATAAGAAAATATACTCTGTGACCCTGAGAGGTGACCACAGAGCCCCGTGTAGAGACTTTTTAGGACCAGTGCACGCAACAAAAGAAGAGTGCAGAGTAGCTTGCTTCCTGTTTCCCCACCACTGACACCCCTGCTCGCCGCCCCCACTTCCCCACCGCCCGGCCCCCTGAACCCGAGCATGCAACCATGGGAGGACTCCCTGGCCCCTGCAGAGACCTCCGCTAATCGCCAGCCAGGTCTCCCCTCTGCCACATGCCTCCCACGGTCTGAGCGCCTTGAGTCCCGCCCGCTGCAGCTCCAGCCACCTCTCTCCCACGCTCCCTCTGCCTGCCTCGCTCTCCTCCGCCCCCCCTGCCACCTTCATGTGCCAATGGGAACGCCACTGTGGCCCGCGGAGGCTCCTCTCCCTTCCAGAGTCATGTGGAGTGTTGCACCGTGGCAGGCTGGGGAAGGGGGCAGAAGGTCTTCATGAGGCCCTGGACTGTCCCACCTCCCCCTGCAGACCCTCCCTGACCCAGAGGGGACAACGAAGGTCATCTTTATTTGGTCCTTAATGCAAACCGTGTTTCTCGCCGTTGCTCTTCTCCCCATCTCCTGCACTGTGTTGTTGTGGACGTGGGGGCAGGGGCAGCTATCTTAGCACAAGGTAACTAGACTTCTTCGGCCCTCCGTGTCGGGCCGGCTGCCTGCTGAACGCCAGGTGAGCAGTTTAGGCACCTGTCATGGGGCTGGGATTGGTCTGGGGCACAGAGGGCTCTCCTTCAACTGCCTCTGGGCTGACCACTTGCTCCGGTCCCCCCGAAACCCTGTGTCCATCGTTGCTGTGCCTGGACTGTGAATTCTAGAATCTGGGCTGCAGTTCTAGTAGACACGGACTGAGAACCAGATCTATGCCCCGGTTCAGCCCCACCCTCCCCACTTTGTCTCACGAAAGTTCCAGATTGCCCAAAGGGTATGCCAGAGAAGCCGGGCCATTGGGCCCCAAGAAGACTCAGGTGCTCCACGGGGGGGCCGCCAGCAAAGAAGACAAACGGCGCACAGCATCCCATCCTCCACTTCATCCCCCCCCCAAATTCCCAGTGATGGCCAGGGCTGTGCCAGAGGCCCGCGTCACCTTGCGGAAGGCACCTCAGGGCCACGTGGCGATCCCTGTGAGGTGGCTTGCCCCGTTGTGTCCCGTCCTCCTTCTCACTGATTATCCCATGGACCTGCCTAGACGTCTTCCTCTTACCACTGAGGAAGAGAGGCAACTGAGATAGTAGAGCTGGGGGCACCGTAGCGACCATCTCATATAGCCGTGCCTTCCCAGGTTTTACGGAGGAAGAGACAGGCCGCCAAGCGCTGAGTGACTTACCCATGAGCACCTAGCCCTCAGTCCAGCCAGAGCAGAGACCCGCAGGGCTTAGGGCTGTCCTTAACAGGCTAGGGCTGACCCGACAGGCTAGGGCAGCCCCTCTTGGCCTTGCACTACAACTACATGGGACCCTAGTCAATGGGAAGTCCGCCTGGCTGGCTTCCCAGCCCCTTCCGAGGCTCTGCCCTGCAGCAGAGAAGAGAAATAGACAAGAGGTGGGCTGCATCCTGATCAGCTGCCACAGTGTCTGTGGCCCTTGTCCCACCTGCTTGGGGGGGCTGTCTCGGAGTCTGAGCCATCTGCCTTCCTTCCTCACTACAGGGTGAAGACGGCTTACCAGTCCAGGGTTGCTGGAACAAGGTAAGGCTGCCCAGTGGTTTGCGGTGCCTTGGGGGCACAGGTGTACTTGCGGCCCCCTTCTCAAGTGTGATTAAGCACGTGCAGTTTCCATCCTGGGCCTCTCTGCAAATGACGTGGGTCAAGAAAGGAATGCTCCCGAAGGCAGGGTGCCCATTAAACGTCCCACACACTGCATGCACTTAGAGAACTTTTTAAAATGCTTTTTAAGGCATCCACACACCCCAGCGTCTCGAATTTCCATGTAGCCACACAGCTGACATCTTATGCTTTGTGTGGTTAATTTCCACAGCACCTTTCCTCCAAGGACTACTAGCCCACGTTTTAAAATTAGTTATCAGTAGCTATTCTCACAGTGTTCAGACAAGGTCATTTAAGCCATTAAGCCACATGATGACATTTATCCAGATGTAGGAAATCTGAGTTGCTTAAACTATACACTCCCATCACTTCCTTACCTCCTCCTGGAGACTGGCCGGGTCACCGCTCTACCCTTCCCCTTGAACTTAAACTGCCAGAGCTCCACGTTTGCACACACGAGTCCTGCAGCCCAGCCCCTCCCGGGGTCCCAGGATTCCTACCAGCAGTGAGTTTTCATTTGTTCGCCCTTGGCATTGCCATCCTTAAAACTGTCTGACACCACAGTGCTGTGCCCCTGCACAAAATCACCCCACCCAGCCAGGGCCCCCAAAGCACAGGGCTCCTCAACTTGACAAGGGCCATCAGTTTGCTAATCCAGAAGCCCTAACATGCTGCTCACCCTCCCTCCACAGCCCCTCTCCGCTTTGCTCCTGCTGAGATGTCTCACAGCCCTCACCCCGTGGTCTCCAGGTGTTGGTCTGTCCTCATAAAGGGGCTGGAGACCCCAGCATGTCCACGAGTTGGTGCTTAGCTAATCTAGCCCTATCTCAGTGAGAGCAGATGCACTCTTACAATCAGACTATAGCTCCTTTGTGCTAAATGCCCAGAATCTCATTAGTTCACAGGATTCAGTTAAAAGTAGTGAAACCACCAAGACACCAGGCCCAAGGCAGGGTCCCTACACTCCCAGGTGCCCAAAGCATCCCTGACCAGGAGATGCGAGTGGTTGAGCTTAGCAGGGGAAGAACAGTCACTATCAAGAGCTACAGTGTCTTGGGGAAGCAGCCCAAGAGCCTCATCTCTGTTGGTTCACGCCATAAAATCAGTCTGGAAGATGGAGTGATTCATCCACAGCCGGGCCTCCAAAGGCCACATGGAGAGCAGATGCCCTCTAGTGTCCACGAAGGGGGTGACAGGAAGGTGAAAGTGATTTTCTGTCTTCAGGGTGCAGACAGCACCAGGGCCTTCCACCCAGGGGGCGGTGGTGCCCCTATCCAAAGCTGCCCACCACCCCAGCCCTCCAAAGAGCACACTCCTTTCCCACAAGGGAAGGAGACACCCACAAACCCACCGACACTAACTCTACTTTGTTTTGTGTGTTTTTGTTTTGCAGTGATACCTCTAACCTGGGATTGGCCTGTGTGTGTGTTTGTACATAGAATATTTATTTTTATACAGTTTTCACTTTTTGAAAATGCCAGAAGTATGATGCATCTTACAGATTATTAAAAAAAAAAAAAGAAAAACCTGCATATTTTGTACAGAGAATGCCAACCTCTTTCCCTTTGTTTACAAGATGTTTTGTATAAGTCTACGACTCTAATACACTTTTTGTTTGTGAGTATGGGCATATGTTTGCATGATATTTGTGCACACTTATTAAGTATTGAAGCTTAATAAATTATTGTGTTCTGGTGCCAAAGGGGGCCAGCCAGCACCAAGGTGCTCGCTAGCTTATGTGTGAATTCACGGGGACGTGGAGGTCAGTGGTGTTTGCCAACTAGGTGTGTCTAAGAATATTTTAAACTCTTATGGATTTTCATTATTAAAAAAAAATGAAACCTGGCAACTCATGATCCTGATCAATCATTAAATTAAATACGTTCGCTCTTGCGAAAGCAGGAAGTCCCAGAAGGAGGGGTCCTTGGCAGTATAGGGTAGCATATGGAAAAGTGAGGTCCAACAGTGAGAGGGACAGAGGGGTCGCTTAAGCAAAGTCTCTTGTATGTAACATATCCCAAGTTCCTTGTGGTGCCATTTGAGCGTTTCAAGGTCAAGTTCAGGTCTGCTGAAATCCCCAGGGTTCCAAAGAGCTATTTGTTACTGCTTTTGGTATTGGGGTGATTTTGTGTGTTTCTTCCCTTTGAGGGCAGTGAGTAGAGACAGCCATTGCTGCTGGTGGCTGGTCATGGGGTACAGATTTGCAAGGCCCCCTCACCCCAGCAGCTGAGAGGGGTGCCTCATTGCCATTCTGCTCCAAGCAAGAACATTCAGAAAACACTCACAAATCTGGGCCACATTGGCCATCCAAAGTTGGGTTTATTTTTTAAGAAATAGAGGGTTATAGAGTTCTGTTCGCAGTGCACAGCTTAGTAAAGGTCTCGGGAACCGTGCCTGAAAGACTATGTATGAACTACCTGTGGTGTGGCCCGAAGGTTTACTGTGTGGTGTTTGAAAACATAAATTGGTGTTGCTTTGGGGCTTGAAAATAACAAACTGCTTGGGTAGTGTAACCATCCCCCCTCATCAGAGATAGAGAGGGAGCGCAAGCAGGGGGAGCGGCAGGCAGAGGGAGAGGGAGAAGCAGGCTCCCTGCCGAGCAGGGAGCCCTATGCAGGGCTCGATCCTGGGACCCTGGGATCATGACCTGAGCCAAAGGCGGACGTTTAACCGACTGAGCCACCCAGGCGCCCATCATTTTCATTTTTCTTAATAGATCCTTTCTTCATAGACAGGACAGTGGCAAACTTAGACTCTGCCCACACACAGTCCCATGAAATTCCACGTGAGGGGGCTTCTCGGTCAGGAGACCCTTGCCACATGGTGGTAATGGGTCCCACAGGTTACCCAGACCCACGGGGACCAACCATTCCCACTCTAGATGTCCACTCCGTGTTTTGAGAATCAGAGAGCTTCCTCCTCTGAGTCTCACCTTCCTTGTCTGAAACGCAAAATGGTGGCACTGAAGCTGGTCTCTCTGGTCACAGACGGAGCTCACCTGTCCCCTCCCCACGGGGCAGAAACCCCAGGGCCCCGCACCCAAGCCGCCAGCTGGCACATGGTGGGAGAGCTCCAGGATGGGGCCCTTTCCAAGTCATCCTGAGTCCAGGGACACTTCTCACCCCGAGCCAGGGCCAATGCCTTGGGCAAAGTGCCACAAGCCTGGGCCCGCGGTACTTCCAGGGGCTAAGAAAATATTTTCATTTTTATTTCTTTTAAATTCAGGGGGAAAAATGAATCTATAATAATGAATCCAGCCAGGGTTACATTCGTCTTTCTACCAGAGCAGTCATAAAATACCATTTTTGCCACAAAGGCGAAAGTGTCTGCGGCCAACGAAAGTCACAATGCAGCCCCGCCCACATCCTCTGCCCTCCCCCCACCCGCCCCAGAGATTTGCTAATTTCTGCCACCTGCAGTGCTGCCCCTCACCCCTTCCTTTTGTTTCCTTCCACCCCAATGGAGGTCCTGAAGAATCAGGGCAAGCTGGTTCTCATACACCTGCTCCCTTTCGGGCTCTCATTGGAGCAGTCCGAACTCACTGATGGCCTCAGACTAGAGTCAAACATTAGCGGGAAGGCTCCAGACCCTGAGCTTCTGTGGGAGCTGAACGCCCTGGTAACTGGCCAAGTAGAAGCCTCTCGCACTTTCTTTCAGTCCTGGTGTTATCCGTTTCCTTATTACACCCCAGCTAACACCACAGGGATCCAGAGCCCCTTGCAAGAATACAGAGAATAGCATAGAAATACGTGTGAGGAAAAGTCTAAAAGTCAGTGTCAAGGAGAAATAAGTACAGAGGAGGTGACAGGAGGCCCAGATGGGCCGGGTAAGGTGTTCCACACATTTCCCTGCAAGCTGCCCGTAGTCGGAGACAAAAAGGAACAACCCGCCCGGTTTCAGTGACCACACCACCCTTCCCAGCAGGAAGCAGTTCACAGAGGTGGACTCTGTGTGCAGGCTCGTTGTGTCTCCTCAGCCAGGACCCTCCTCCCTGCAGGGCCTGACTTCGGGGTTCCCCTGGGCCTCTCCACTCAACTGGCGTCTGGGTCAGAGGTGGTGCAGGGAGATTAGAAGTAGGCAAAGCCATGGTCGAGAAGTCTGCAGAGTCGCTGGGGATCTGACAGGCCAGAAGCACAAGGAGTACGGGGTGCCAGAAGGAGAGGAATGGGAGCATGGCAGGAGCGCAGATCAGTGGAGGGCAGTGCCCGGGGCCGCTACCAGAGAGCGTTCACGGAGCTTAGAGATGCTCACTCCATTCCCGGGACTCGCAGCCCCTTCTGCTGAGAACCGCCTGCCCAGGAAGCGGACATGGCCCCCAAACCCCGCCCCACGGGGCAAATTACAGTCCTGTTGGCGAACATTCTCTATGAACTGTCAAGTGCCGGGTCTTGAGACCCGTTGCCTTCAGGGGCTCACTACCGTGTCCAGCCCGGCGCACTGGCTCAGGCACCCTTTTACTGCCCAGCACTGCCCACCCGCAGGCCTGCGAACACCTGGCTTCACAAGAGACTGAGCCAGTGCCCCCGCGGGTGACAGTGGAACGGGGTGGTCCAGGCCCAAGTCACTGTTCTCACCGAGGTCAGTGACCTGTGCCTCTGTGGTCACGTGGGCCAAAGGAAGCCCCACCTCGCTAAGGAAGGAATGGCTCCTTCCACCCAGGCCCACACCATCCCACCTCTGCCTCACTCCGTGCTTCTGCCCTGCCAGGCCAAGAGCTGGCCTCCCTGCCGGGGGCTCTGACTTCATCTGGCCGAATGAAATGCCACAGACCTGGGGGGTGTTCGGGGTAGCCCAGGGAGGGGGAGGGCGCTGGCCAGCAGGTCAGGAGGCTCAGCTTCCAGTCCCTCCTCCATGGTCAGCTATGTGGCACGGGACGACTTACCCCAGCTCTCAGTATCCCCAAACGTCAAATGAGGAGGTTGACTTGGGTGACCTCTGACAACTTGAAACCCACTGATTCCACAGCCCGGTGGGCATCTGGGAGGACTGGGACACTGGAGCGTCCCCCGCCCCCTCTGGCTAGTGCTCTCCAGCTGGGATAGTGTGCTGCATGGAGTCGGCATGGCCACGCTGTGGGCTGCACGCGCGTGCTCCGGAACCCTGAAGAACGGGACTGCCAGTAGCCGGAGCTGGCGGGGTCGGTGCGTGGGGTCGGCTCTCCTGGGGCAGGGATGGCAGCAGAGACTCTTTCTCTGACTAGCGTCTACACTGCTAAATTCATCAGAGGTGAAGTGACACAGGTGTAAGCACCTGGCACACAGGGGGAATCCCTAAAACCCCGCAAATATTCAAGGACACCGTGCCTCCCTGGTAAGGTTCGCCCAGCCTTCCCCCATAGCTGGTTCTCTGCGCCCCTGTTGGTGTACTCCCCCACACTAGCACAGCCTGGCCACCCCCCACCCCCAGCCCTGAGCCTGGACACACTTTCAGACACCCCGAGAGTCAGGCACCTATGGCTCCATGCCTCTGAAAAGAAGGGAAGGGTGGGCCACTGGTGAGTGAGCCGGGAAAGAGGGCACACACGAAGAGGGAGAGCAGGGAAGGAAGGACCAGGGAGGGACCAGCTGCTTCTCTCTTCCAGGAGCAGACTTTTCGAGGTGGCGTTTCCTTGAGGCAGCAGGCTCCTCACTGCAGTTGCGGTGGGGGGGGGGTAGATGGCGCAGGGAAAGGGAGCTGGGTTTTATATGCTAAGGCAGAATTCCCCACACAAAGTGACCCCTGGTCCCCAGGACCCCAGGTCCCAAGGCCTGCCTCCGGGGAACAGCCAAGCATCTGTGAAGAGCGGTGTAGACAGAGGCACAGCGGGACTGAGGCCGAGCCTCAGCCCCGCAGGGCCTTCCCCAGCCTTCCCCAGGACCCCAGGTCCCAAGGCCTGCCTCCGGGGAACAGCCAAGCATCTGTGAAGAGCGGTGTAGACAGAGGCACAGCGGGACTGAGGCCGAGCCTCAGCCCCGCAGGGCCTTCCCCAGCCTGGGTTGGCTCACAGGTCCCTGTATTCACCCTCCGCTTTCCCCTGCACACCCGCACCCACGCCAGGCCCTTTGCCTGCATGGCTCTTCTTTCTCACCTGCCAGAATTCTACCCTCCTTTCAAGGCCCAGCTCAGACCACCAGGGCCCTGGGAAGACTTTTCTGGGTTCCTAAGTTGGGTGAGTCTCCCTCCTTAGAAAAACCTGGAATTCTGTGTTCTTTTCATCCTCCACCTTCTATTAGAGGGGGAAAAAATCAGTCTTCCACACCAGACAGTGACCTCTCGGAGGGAAGGGACTTTCTAATTCATTAGGGACCTGGAGATCTAGCTCAATGTCTCCGTCCCATGGTCAAGGCTCATAAACACCTATGAGTTGCTGAGTCATCAGTCTACTTGAGTAAAGCATCTACTATGTGTAAGCAGTGGGCGAGGAGGCCAGGGCTACTGTGGACTCCGAGACCCAGTCTGCCCTCCAGGAGTTAACAGGGATGCCCAGCAATGCAAAGACGTATGTGCTAAGTGCTCGATGAGGGCACAGCCAGGGGACTGCGTGGCTGCCAGTGTGGCCAGAATACAGAGACGGAGTTTGCCACCGAGGAAGGAGAGAGGAGCTGGCTGCCGTGGACAAGCACTCTCTCCCTTACCTCGCCTTCC